GCTCACACCAGTCCACAAAGTCCTTGATAACCGACCGGTATTCCAGTTCGTTCCCCTCAGACACACAGCCCACGATGGCGGAGTCGTCTGAGAACTTCTGCAGGTGACAGCTGTGTGTGTCATGTGTGAAGACTTTTTATGAACTACTTAGAAAAAAAATCGGGTATAGCTTCTTTAAAACATAAATTTACTTTTGGACAGATGCAAAGGTTCTACCAGTATCCCCCTGTTATTCTGCCATAGCCTCGGTCCAGTCTCACATTGTAGAAATGACTTGATCAACATTAAAATCTGCTGAAAACACGCACGAACTCTGAGTAAGACCGAGATCCATGGGTAAGACATGTTGTTCTGGGCCTGAGTCAATGCTACCACAGCACAAGACTTTTCGATACCAGCAGGAGAATTCGGATATGAACCGCAGTGTCATTCCGCGGTGACAGCAGCGGTGCGTCATGGTGCGCTCTGGACTCACCTCGGCACTTCTCTGGTCCGGGTCGGTCTGCTGGATCGTGGGGGCTCGGGGACAGGTCTTTAGGGCTAAAGTCTGGTTCTGCTATCCTCCTGACGGGCCGTGTTGTCAGCCCGGAAGTGTTTTGGTTTCTTTGTCGTTTGGATTCGGAGAGCAGCGTCTGAGCGGGGTCTGCAGAACACTGCCTCCTGCTGGCTGTTAACACGTATCTGTCTGTGCTTCTGTTGTGACCATAGACCAGTGGTGGGCAAACCCCGGCCCGTGGGCCAGATGCGGCCCTTTCGATGCTTCTATCAGGCCCCTGAGCCCTCCTCAATTTATATAGATTAAGATTAAGATCAAGAGAGATGAGGATTAAGAACATTTATTCATCCCACAGTGGGGTGATTTCAGTTTAAACATCATACAATCCCCCTCTGTGCTGTGTGCAGAGCTATTTTTTTCATATAAACCATACATTTATCTTTTAAAATGAAGCCTGAGAAAAACACTGGAATATCAGATGGCTGTCGGGATCCGGACCTAATTTCCAATGTGGCCCTCAGAAGGAAAAGTTTGCCCATGTCTGCCATAGACTATGTTGTGACATCAATAGATCCATGCATGAAAGCAGATAAAACCATGGATCTATAGTAATAACCCGTCTGCTCAAACAGAGGAAGAGACATTTGTTCTGTGTTTCGATCTAATTCAAATTATTATGTTTTTAAAAACTCTACAATAAGCCACCCCTTTACTCTCAAAGATATAGTAGTAGTTGTTTATTGTCTTCGGCCAATACAGTGCCTTGCGAAAGTATTCGGCCCCCTTGAACCTTTCAACATTTCGCCACATTTCAGGCTTCAAACATAAAGATATAAAAATTACATTTGTCATGAATCAACAACAAGTGGGACACAATCGTGAAGTGGAACAAAATTTATTGGATCATTTAAACTTTTTTAACAAATAAACTGAAAAGTGGGGCGTGCAATATTATTCGGCCCCCTTGCGCTAATACTTTGTAGCGCCACCTTTTGCTGCAATTACAGCTGCAAGTCGCTTGAGGTATGTCTCTATCAGTTTTGCACATCGAGAGACTGGAATTCTTGCCCATTCTTCCTTGCAAAACAGCTCGAGCTCAGTGAGGTTGGATGGAGAGCGTTTGTGAACAGCAGTCTTCAGCTCTTTCCACAGATTCTCGATTGGATTCAGGTCTGGACTTTGACTTGGCCATTCTAACACCTGGATACGTCTATTTGTGAACCATTCTATTGTAGATTTGGCTTTATGTTTTGGATCATTGTCCTGTTGGAAGATAAATCTCCGTCCCAGTCTCAGGTCTTTTGCAGACTCCAACAGGTTTTCTTCCAGAATGGTCCTGTATTTGGCTCCATCCATCTTCCCATCAATTTTAGCCATCTTCCCTGTCCCTGCTGAAGAAAAGCAGGCCCAAACCATGATGCTGCCACCACCATGTTTGAGAGTGGGGATGGTGTGTTCAGGGTGATGAGCTGTGTTGCTTTTACGCCAAACATATCGTTTTGCATTGTGGCCAAAAAGTTCGATTTTGGTTTCATCTGACCAGAGCACCTTCTTCCACATGTTTGGTGTGTCTCCCAGGTGGCTTGTGGCAAACTTTAAACGAGACTTTTTATGGATATCTTTGAGAAATGGCTTTCTTCTTGCCACTCTTCCATAAAGGCCAGATTTGTGCAGTGCACGACTGATTGTTGTCCTATGGACAGACTCTCCCACCTCAGCTGTAGTTATCTGCAGTTCATCCAGAGTGATCATGGGCCTCTTGGCCGCATCTCTGATCAGTCTTCCCCTTGTTTGAGATGAAAGTTTGGAGGGACGGCTGGGTCTTGGTAGATTTGCAGTGGTCTGAGACTCCTTCCATTTCAATATAATTGCTTGCACAGTGCTCCTTGAGATGTTTAAAGCTTGGGAAATCTTTTTGTATCCAAATCCGGCTTTAAACTTCTCCACAACAGTATCTCGGACCTGCCTGGTCTGTTCCTTTGTCTTCATGGTTCTCTCTGCGCTTTAAACAGAATCCTGAGACTATCAAAGAGCAGGTGCATTTATACGGAGACTTGATTACACACAGGTGCATTCTATTTATCATCATCAGTCATTTAGGACAACATTGGATCATTCAAAGATCCTCACTGAACTTCTGGAGTGAGTTTGCTGTACTGAAAGTAAAGGGGCCGAATAATATTGCACACCCCACTTTTCAGGTTTTTATTTGTTAAAAAAGTTTAAATTATCCAATACATTTCGTTACACTTCACGATTGTGTCCCACTTGTTGTTGATTGTTGACAAAAAAAATAATTTTTATAGCTTTATGTCTGAAGCCTGAAATGTGGCGAAATGTTGAAAGGTTCAAGGGGGCCGAATACTTTCGCAAGGCACTGTATGTACACCAGATCTCAGGTCACACGGTTACAGAGATCACATACACTTTTTACTAGAATAAAAAACCAAAATATGTCCATAAAGGACCTTGTGCGAAACAATGCCTGACCGAAAGTCGAAACTATAAAAATAAATTGTTATTTTGAAGATATCTTCATGTCTTCAGCTGTAGTGTATTCATTTCTATTCACGGCGTAATGATGGGACCCCTGAATCCAGGGGCGACAGGGGTCATCACGCTCCCTAGAACCAATGGCTCCTGCAGTATATGTTTATTCTTATTGCATTTCCTGTGTTCGAACTGTTTGATTCTCATATCTGTTTTTGGCAAATCAACAACTTCATAAAGTCCTCCAAAACAACTGCTGTTGTTGTTGTTTAGGGTTATTCAAGAATAATTTGAATTGAATAGACAGTGTTTTTTGTTTTGTTTTTCACCCTTATGGAGGAGTCAATACTTTCCTGCAGCACTGTTCAGTCTGAGAACATTTAAAGTCTCGCTCTTTGCAGGTGTTTGGATAAACTGACAACAATAGTCAATTTTTATAATATTGGAGTTTTTATAAGTCGTAAGCCTCAGAATTAAAAGAAGAAAGGCTTGACACATGTATCATTTATGAGTTTTACATTTGACTTTTTCACAATGTCTGGCTGATAAGGTAGGGGAAACCGGAGCACCCAGAGGAAACCTGCGTCCCAAAATCAACCTTGACTGAGCTAAAATGAGGTCTGTTTCTGCTGAGGAACAATGTAACATGTTTAAAAACTAAAACAAGTTAATTTGGAAGAATAAAAACACAGGACTCAGGGGGATAACGTGGAAGACCTTAATGAAAAACCGATCCATTCAGTGAATTGTATTAGCATTTTATTAGTTAAAGAATAAAAGTCAAAACAATATCAAAGACTTAAGGACACATTAAGCTTAAGCTGCAGCGTGATAAATGCCAACTGGAAAGATATCTACGATTTTAGGAAATAACTATTGCTGACGGAACTGAGACTGTGGCATTTAACATCCCCACACGCTGTCATAGCATAGTCATAGTCATAGACAAAAAGAACACAGTTAATGCATTGTTTGTGGCCTTGAAAAACAAATCTAAAAAGTGTTTAGACTTTCTTTGAAAGGAAAAGGAGTTTGAAAACGACTGACTGAAAACACAGACATGAAATTGTACATTAAATGTTATTTCACCTGAGAAATGACTAGAGCTGCAACTAACGATTATTTTGTAAATCGATTAATCTATCGATTATTTTTACGATTAATCGAGTAATCGCTTGGCTGTGAATTGTGTAGAAAAAAATTATTTTTTCATCACAAAAAGCTAAAGTGGCAACACTCGAGGACGTATTGATGGCGTAAACTTAAAGTAAATGTTTGTAACAGGCTCTTTGTGCTAATTCTGCTATCTGATTGGATGAGACAGACACATATTCATGAAATTATAAAAACAAAGTCGGTTTTAATCAAAAATACTACATTTTCATATCATTTTTGCTCTGTTTGAGTCCGTGTGAACCAGAAAACAATTAATCGATTACTAAAATAGTTGTCGACTATTTCAATAATCGATTAGTCGTCGATTAATCGATTAGTTGTTTCAGCCCTAGAAATGACCAAAACAAATTAATGGGTGAGAAAGGCAGAAAACTGATAATGATTTCCACTGTCTCTCTGCTTAGCCACTCTTAGCCTCATGATGCTAACATGTAGCTTCCTCACGGTCAACATTGGAACCCTAATAACTCACTACCTGCATTTGATACTTTCTTCAAATATGCTGTGCCGAAGTCTTTTTGTTCTTCTTTTCACACATGAGGAGACACATGGCGCACCTTAAATCGGCTTCGTATTGTTCGGGCAGATCATTGGCCGACTATGGGTTCATCTCCTTCTGAACCTGGAGGTACAGACCAGGGTTGCCGTGTGGAGCCTGTTACCACGGCGACCGACATGCAACTAAACCCAAACTCTATTCAGCGACGGAATTCACTCAAAATAAACCTGAACTCACACTGAAACCAAACCGACTCCTACCAACTGATGGATGTGGGGGTAAGATGCTTGTGGTAGTCGCACCCCCACACCGGTCTCAGGGGTGCGGCCCCGGCTTCTCTCAGCAGAGGTCGTGGCGGAGGGGCCGGGCTCGGGCTAAAGTGCAGGTGGGGGGCGGCGTGAAGACCTGGGGGTCACTGATGCCCAGGCGCAGGTCGAAGAAGCGCGTGGAGGTGGTGAGGCTGGCGTTCTGGGTGTAGGTCTCCTGCACTGGGTAGCAGTCCTTCACCGTGTACATGCCCACCCACGACTCATCTGCACAAACACAAACACAAACCAACTTCATACAGCGTTTTCCAGAGATTTGAAAGTTTTATCTGTTTATAACTACAATCCATGACAAACAATAGGCAGAGACAAACAATGAGTCTTTCCAATTGAATTATTATGGTATGTGATTATTTATATTTTAATTAGGACCAAGTGGTTATTGGTGGGAGACTCAAACACACTTTACTCTTCAGGACAATAAATGTATGGAATGTTCTCTGTGAAAGAAGAATGTGGAACCTGCCTGACGTGTCTCGACCACACAGCGTTTGACAGTGTACACACGCAACTAGAGCTGTGATTGTATCAGATAATAAAAGGAGATAACACTGAGAGAGCTCTGCATTCTGATAAAGAACCAGCAGAAGAACCATCTGGACGACTTCCCACAGCCAATCATTTCACGACATAAAAGATGCATGCACTGCGAGGAAACGTGGATCATTTTCTTTCTGCTCTTAGTTTTAAAAAGGTATTTATGAGATGTTACGTACCAATCAAAAATTTAATGTGGACAAAAATAATTGGTGTAAATCACTACTTCACTATCCATCGGCACCAATCACACGCCCCCAGCCGCACATGCTCAGTGGGTCTCAGAGTTTGGTTATGTTGACAGTTAACGGCTAACACTGGTTCTTTGTGACTGTGAAAATGGAGTAGCTACAAATGCAAAAAGGACAGTAGTGAAATAGAACTGGAGTGGGATTGTGGAAAACAGGACTTCTGGCAAGATCTTCCGAAATACCTTTAAAGCATTTAGAGAAAATATAAAATCCTGAAAATCTGAGTAAGAATCAGTGATGGCCAGTCAACAAAACGGGTTTAACCTCCAGAATGCTACTGGATGCTAACTCTGTCTCTGTTTTATTGTATGAATACTGAACTCAACATCTGCTGGAGGTGCATTACAATTTCACTGCATGTAATGTGTATGTGACAAACAATAATAAACTAAACATGATTACCACCAGACCCTGGACTCACGTTGGCGCGCAGGTTTGCGGTCGGACCACTCCTGCACCTCCATGCTGTCCCCAGGGCCCCCCACCGTGTACTCGTCTTCGTAGGTGGAGTTGTCAGGGATGTCGAAGGGGTCCCAGGCCTGGAGCAGGGCCAGCTTGGAGCACTCTTTAGTCTTCTGGTCGATCTGAAACAGCACGGCACTCTGGAACAAGTAGATGAACTCAAAGTACCTGCACACAAGTGTAAAAAAACAGATGAAAAGATTCAATATTTTGAGAGTAAGGAGGTGGATAAAACTAGTATAAAACTAGAGTAACAAAACAGGGTAGGAAAAGACTTCAAGGTTCTAAAGTTCACTCACTGGATTTAAGCTAAGGTCTTGGAATGCTTTCAATGTCAATGTTACAGTGTTAGTTTACCGTCCAAGTGCATTACATTATTCTCAATCAGTTTTCATATGCAAAGATAAGAATTCCTTTATTCGTCCCACAGTGGGGAAATTTCGAAAGGAAAGGAAGACATCCTGACGCTGCATCATCATGACTGCGTCTCGAGGACCCTGGGATATGTGCATTATTTATTAGTTTATTTGAATAGAGACTGTATTATTCAACATTACTGTAAATGTGTCAGCCTTAGCTATACAGCTAGTTTCCAACTTAGTCTCTCGGCAAGGTGTAAAATGCCAATAAAAACCCTCCAAACATTACGATATAGAAATAGTTAGGCAAGGCAAGTTTAAGGAAACTCAAAGTGCTGAACAAAACAAGATAGAAACAGTCACACAAGACATTCCAATCATAAATAATCACAGTGCTTTAAAAAGAAAGATACAAATATAAAATCCCTCATTTGTACACACAGCTAAACAGAACTGTTTTTAATCTGGATTTAAACATTGTCAGAGTAGAAGCCTGTCTCCCAAATTCAGGAAGATTGCTCCAGATTTAGCAGCACAAATCTGAAATCCAGCCTCCCCATGTTTATTTCTGACTCTGGGCAGAGTCAGTTTACAAGCTTGATTGTCATCAGTAGTTTATGTTCATGTTCAGCAGGAGGATGAATAGAACTCTCTGAAAGAAGCATTTTTTAAAGAAATTTTGAAAAGTCCAAAAGTTTTCCGAGATGATTTGATAGTCATCAGACTCACAGGAATAATGTGACTGAACACAAATGATATGGTTTCCAGTGTTTCCCACACATAGACTAATCTGTGGCGCACCGCCACAGATTAGAGACCGCCCGCCACAAATTGCGTTTCGTATTATTATATATATTTTTTTTTTGTTACGCTATTTAAAACATGCATCGTCTAGTGCCGCCGCAGCGGTCAATTTGACAGCGGGGAGGGGGGGTTTAAAATGTGGCGGCCCTTCGTAACTCTCACTCAAGCTACGCGTCTCTCCCACATACAGAGACCTACACACACACAGCCACTCCCCTTCGTGCACACCGCGTGTCTCCGTCTCCATCAGCGATCATCGCTGTAAGCAGCTGTGTCTATTAATTTACCGCGGTAAAGTGGCCCGCATCTTTCAGCTCTATGAACATGCGGCCCGCATCGGGGAAAAGACGGTGCGCGTTTTGTTGAGAACTTACGGTAACAGCGGAACATCCTTTCGGAGTCACCCATTTTTATCGAACAGAAAGCGCGCTGGGGTCAGGGAGACACGTTTTTGTGATTAAAACCTTATAGAGATGCCACCCGGCACACATAGCACCAGCCCCCTACGATTCCTCCGGCAGATTGTGAGTCCTCAGGAGGATAGCCACTCTATTGTTTACATGTATAAAGTACACAATTTGGTCCGCTAGTGCAATTTTCAAGTATTGTAACTATTTACTGGAATAAGGTGTGCGACTAATTTTACTTGACTCATGACCTTATTATTGCCCTCTGCCACTGTACCAAAGACCAGAAACTTTTACTGTAGAAATATTGAGAAATATTGAGGTAAAGTAGCCATTTTGGTCCAAAATACCTCCAAAATAGTCAAAACATGTCACTTTTGATCTACTGTAACTTTTTACTGTAAAAAGGTGTGCGACTAATTTCACTGGATTCATGACCTCAAGATTGTCCTCTACCACTGTACCAAAGACCAGACACTTTTACTGTAGAAATATTGAGAAATATTGATTTAAAGTAGCCATTTTGGTCCAAAATAGCCTAAAAATGGTCAAAACATGTCACATTTGATCTACTGTAACTTTTCACTGTAAAAAGGTGTGCAACTGATTTCACTGGATTCATGACCTCAGGATTGCCTTCTACCACTGTACCAAAGACCAGACACTTTTACTGTAGAAATATTGAGAAATATTGAGGTAAAGTAGCCATTTTGGTCCAAAATACCTCCAAAATAGTCAAAACATGTCACTTTTGATCTACTGTAACTTTTTACTGTAAAAAGGTGTGCGACTAATTTCACTGGATTCACGACCTCATGATTGCCCTCTACCACTGTACCAAAGACCAGAAACTTTTACTGTAGAAATATTGATTTAAAGCAGCCATTTTGGTCCAAAATAGCCTAAAAATTGTCAAAACATGTCACTTTTGATCTGCTGTAACTTATTACTGTAAAAAGGTGTGCGACTAATTTCACTGGATTCATGACCTCAAGATTGTCCTCTACCACTGTACCACTGTACCCCCCCCCCCCCGCCGACGACCACCACACATTGCCTTCAAACCTGTGGGAAACACTGGTTTCTGTCTCAAACTGCTTTCTACATGGAATCTCTTGTTGTCCATCACTCTTTGGAGGAATCTCTTGTGGACCACTCGTCTCTTCCAGTTTCTTTCTGCTTCTTCCAATACAGCAATAACTAATATTTACAGTCTATGGAAATAATACAAGCATGTTTTTTTTTTTTTAATGTTTTTTTAGCAGGGAAACAGAAGGTTGTTAGATTGGCTTTGCAATTCCTCTGCACAACAATGGGATGCTGTGATGCACTCAGTAAAACATGTATAAACCAATAGATCCATGATATAAACACAAACTTCACCTTTGGCAGGGCGTGTGCTTCTTGTGCTGCTGCAGGACGCGCAGGCGCTGGTTCAGGCCGTCATAGGAGACCGCGGCTCGGGTGTTCCTCCCGGTGCTGTGGTCGTACTGCACCCAGCGACCCTCCCACTGAGCCGGGGCGAGGCAGGGCGAGGGAGCGGCCTGTGCACGGAGCTCCCAGGACAGAGCAGCGGAGAGGAGCAGGAGCAGGAGGCCGGGCATGATGCTCTGTGTGCGGGGATCAGATATGAAGTGGTCCGTTATGTGCACCTGCTGCCTGCGGAGAACGACTTCCGGTCAGGATGCGTCACTGAATCTGAATTCAGAGAAATGCGTCCTTTCTTACCCTTCTTTCTCCTCTTCGTTCGTCTTTGTGACTTTAATTTGGATTTAAATGACAATATAGACAGTCTCATAACCGTCTTAAATATCAACAGACCTTTTTTTGGGTGAAAGAGTAATTTAAAAGAGGGGTAAGGAAGGATGTATTTGGAATACTTTGGATGCAGCCTTTTACCGATGTGAACAACGTCTCCTTCCAAAATCATAAACATAGATATTTTATTTATTTTTTAGTGTCCTTTTACGTGTTGCTTTATGATGTTATGTTGCTTTTTTGATCGTACTGTCAATCAAAATATAATACAGTTTTAAGATGTTTATTTTAGGTTAGGATTAGGTAATAATCCTTATGACAAACCATAGATCAGAGTTTCCAAGACCCCGAAGTTGCAGACCTCATTTTTAAAGAAAATTAACTAATGATCTCAATTTGGTTTTTGGATCTTTTATGAAATTTATGAACGAGACACTTTCACACATGACAGATCCATAAAACTGTATTCATTTGCAGCAATCCCAGAACAGTTCACAGCCAAAAAGCACTGAATGTTTTGTCATTTTGTTTAGTTTAATTACAGTAAAGAGGATATTGTTGTGTCAACATTAAACAACTTGTGAAATTCTATTTGTAATCATGAAATTCTGTAGTTTTATATCAAAAGTGTACTATTCTGAGGTCAAATGGGAACAGCAGACAAGTATTAAGCGGATGTCGAACTGAGGACAATAGACAGCTTCATGGTTTTCAGAAAAGGTATGTGGAAGTATTATTATAGATCCATGGGAAGTAGACTGAGACTCAAACCAGGACCAAAGTTCGGACTTGGACTGGACTGGACCATGGATCTATAATAATAACGGACTGGACCCAGACCTGGACTGGACTGACGAAGCCGCGCCCCCTTCTGCACATTTTACTTATGTGATAGTGTTCGTCAGCACACATAGGGAAAGACCAGAGATAGGATAGTCAGGATATGAGCTCTTGAGTTTTGTATTTGATTGTAAAGATAATTAATTACTGTTGAAATCTTGCTTCTTATTTCTCTTTATCAAATCGGAGACACGTCCGTCTTTTTCAGACAATAATATACAGACTAAGAAAAGATAGGGAACTGGAAGGCACTGTATGATTTTGCTTGAGTCGAAAGAGTTCACTACTTATAGCTGCAAGATATGTTAGTGATTCCAAATGGTCAACAGGCTGTGGTCAGGTTGAGACAGCAGGCCATATCTCTAGTGCCTCAATTAGCTGCTGTTGTCATTAGAACTGAATTATACTCATAGAACCACCACATTAAGAGAATTGGTTTCTCAGTCAGTCCTCCTTTTCATTGCATGAGACCTTCGCCACCTACTCCCACGTATGTCTACTGTCCTTGTGTCCTTGGGCAAGACACTTAACCCCACTTTGCCTGAAGCCCCCTCTGAAATTTCAAGGCAGTACGGTCACCAACAGTGAAGCCATCTGGGTCTTTCTGTGGAGTTTGCATGTTCTCCCTGTGTCTACGTGGGTTTCCAATACCAACATTTTTGGTTTTTTCACAATCCTACAGCTCTAGTCTTCAGTCCTTATGGCATCAGAATAAGTTAAAGGCAGAGGATGAATTGCCCTACGGGGATAAATAAAGCGCACCACCACCTTGCATCTGTTGTAATGGTACAACTCATGTTTGAACCTATCGTGCAATGGCTGAAGTTACTTTGACTGCATAGACTAAAAAAGTGCTACAAAAAAATTAGAAGATCAAAAACACCCACTGGAATAAGAATTCTTTGCCATAGTGAGTAACAAGAAGTCACAAACTAGGAATTTACTTTGTGCAGATGATGAGTGAAGCTCGACTGCAGCCCTAAGGGCCATCTGATTTGGCATGTGTTTTTGATTATTTCATATCTTCCAACATCTGGTGTGGCATCTGGGCTTTTTCTGGAACCTTGTCTGGCTTCTATCCTGTCCTAATGAACAAGATAAAAATGCAATGAAGAGGACGAGGGACACACAAACTGCCCATGTGATCATTTACCTGCATTTGAAATAAACACATGGGTTGAAGTTTAACCCTCCTCTTCCTCTCTGTCTCTCCACTGTCTTAAATGGTTTTGGTGTTTGTGACATCTGGTCACTATCGTCTGTCCTGAATAAGACAATGACGCATTGAAGTGGGACGAGGCACAGATGATAGATCCATCTGATGATTTACCTGCATGAACGTCAACACTTGGTGTAACCCTCCTCCTCCACTCCGTCTCTCCAACGTCTGAACGCATTCGTTCCACCTCACTGGCCAAAAAAATGAATGTATGAATTTGTTGCACTTTGTTGCATAAATACAAATGTATGCCATACATGGACTATATTTTCCTTGTTTGTTACATTTTTAATGTTTTATTCTTTTTTTTAATCTCAAGATATACCAGTCTTGTAAAGTAATGTGATAATAACCTTAGTTAACCTATACTTACATATTTCAATCATATTTCTCTTTTTAAGGATATGGAGGGAAGAAGCTTGTGAACCAAAGCTATAGAACATACATTAAAGGCAATAAGTTATATCTCAACAACAAGTGTGCACAAACTCTTGACACATATTAAAAGGTAAATTGGACAGGCTGGTATCCAAAAAGGACAGGCTCCTTTTGGGACATCGGCAGCTGCTGTCAACACGTGGCATAACCCTCCTCCTCCACGCCGTTTCTCCACCGTCTGAACTCATCTGTTCTACCTTCTTTATAAAATACAGACACATGACGTTACTGGATTTCATCACATGTATATTTATATACATATATTAATTATATAAGTATATTTCTTGATTGGGTCATTTTCAATGTTTAAATTCTTTCTTTCTTTTAATCTGAAATAGAGACGTAATGTTACATTATCTAACATATATTCACCAGTCTTGTCCTTGTTCCTCTTTTTAATCCCAAAGAGTAAACCTGGGAATCAGAGCTCTACCACAAATATTATGATCACAACACAACAATAATATTACAGGAACAAACATAATCATATATTGAATGTTTTCTTAACGGAACAAACATGGATCAATTTACAACACACCTACAAAAACAACAGCCAACATAACCTACATATACATTTATATATATATAATTCCAGTCAAAATTGTTTGATGTGAGTCACTTCTTGATGAAGTCTTTCAATCATGTAATTATTTTGCAATAGTAAGCAGTAAGTAAGTAAGCTTTTATTTATATACCGCCTTTTCACTGCACATCGGAGTCTCAAAGCGGTTTACAATTGTTGGGTGGGGGTGCCAGTACAGGAGGCACATGCCATACCTATTGTACATATTTTTAGTGGTAGGGGAAACCGGAGCACCCGGAGGAAACCTACGCAGACACGGGGAGAACATGCAAACTCCACTCAGAAAGGCCCTAGTCCAACCGGGATTCGAACCCAGGACCTTCTTGCTGAGAGGCGAGAGTGCTATCCACTCAGCCACCGTGCCGCCCGCAATAATAGTAGCAGTAGTATTGTTAATGTACGAATTGATGAATGGAGGGGCCGGGCGTCAAATGTAGGTCAACTATGGATTTGACATCAATAATTTGATAGCTTGTTATGAGTTTACAGTTTACAGCAGAGTATCAGTGCCCTCTGGTGGACCGCATGCAGTGGACAGGTCTGCCACACGAGGCGCTGCTGTGCTCCACAGATGTAAACAAGACAGTGTCGCGTAGTGATGACGCATGAGTCGGGCGCATAGGAGCATGCTGGTGTTGAACCGTTCAGAACACATTAGACGACTGTAGACAATTTTCTCTCTTTAGGATGGTCAAAGTGAGCATGGCGAGCGGCAGGAGCGCCCCCCTGTCCCCGGACTCCTCTGACGATGAAGCCCCGGAGGAGATGAGCTTTGAGGCGGCCAGAAACGAAGCTTTAGACCGCATCAAGAACGCCCTGGACACGGCCAAGAGGTGAAGCAAGCCCCGGGGGCAGAGCACCTATCTGTGTTCATGCTGTCCCTTAAACAGAAGCTGAGAATATTGACATATTATGCGAACACTGAGATTCAGTAGCAATTGTTTAACTTTGCAAAAGTTGAAGGGAGAAATGCTTTTCACTGGTACTTGTTATAAGAGATCCTGTATTCAGCCCACAGTGGGAAAATACGGTGTTGTTACCGAACAGTTTAGCACAACTCTACTGTGAATGTAAAAATTATACACAAACCTGTATACTCTAGTGTAAGGAAATATTGTATGTAGACATCTATCGATAAATCTGTAATGCACTCAAGATATCAAAAAGTTCAAAAGTTCTAAAAGTTGAACATTTTTCCGATACTGTGTAAATGAATAATAACCCTAATTATATCTATTTAATTTTTCTACTTGAGGGGGCTACTGATCAGATGGCATGAGTATCACACTGTCAAACCCCAGCTGTTTGTTTATACGTGAGGTGTAGTATAGGATGAACATTTAAACTGTCAGATAATAGAGCCATAGAGTCTGACATTACACTTGGGGGGTATATGTTTACAAGGGTTAATGACACACATGTTGTTACTGTGTCCAGGGAGAAGCAGCAGCTCAAGGAGAAGCGACGCAGGAGACAAGAGCTGTTCCAGGAGCAGAAGGTGACATGCGAGCTCCTCTTCCCAAGCCCCATTCAAATCCATGTTCTGTGCTCATTGGTTCATTCTCGCACCATGGACGTCCCAAACATTTGCAGAAGTGAAGTGTTCTGACCAGATCTGGTTCTCCTGGTCTTGTGCAGTAGTTTTACTTTCACAGGACCAGAGTGCACAGAGGGACATGTGAGCGTTCTGACCAATCAAAGCACCGCTGATCAGAGCTGGGCGAGAGTGGACCGAGTTTTTTGCATTAACTTGTGGATTTCAGATCATCCCCACTGTGGAAGAAAATGGCTCCTCTTTTTCATCATTTCAATCCAGAGAAACGTGAGAGTTGTGTCTCATGACTCTGTGTGTGTTACAGAAGAGAAGGCTGCTGCCCTCAGAGCTGCTGGACCAGATGGATTCTGCTGCTGCGGCGTGAGTCCTAAACCTACCCTCACATTCCTCCACTGTTGGATGATCAGGGATATCTTCTTTTTGGTTAAGCCTGTCCGCACCTTGTCAGTATTGATGGGAGCCCGCTGTAGTATTGGGTGTCAGGCTCCACGCTTCACCCAGTAGAGGTCGCACAAGAGTAAAGTTACTGAGGCTCCCTAGATCAGGGTTGGGCAAAGCGGTGGGTGTGAACTTACAGTGACTTTTGTGTTTGTCCCCAGGGAGCAAGAACAGGTTCAGGATGAAGGTGAGTCCACCTCAAGGCTAACTTGATGGTTACCGATAGCAACAAGAATGTGTCATTCTCTCTTTCAGAGCAACAAGAGCAAACTGAAGAAAAGCCAATGTCCTCAAGATGGTATGAAGAGAGCTGTGTATAAGGAGACGTTTATATAAGGAGATGTTTAGGCTCCTGTCCCAAGTGGACTGATGTAATGTGTGTGTGTGTGTGTGCGCTCCTCAGTCTGACAGAGGTCTACACAGTGACCTCATCCCACCAGCAGACGTCCCACCAGCAGCAGGCGGCTCAGGACTTCCTACACTCGCGGCTGTACGGAGTTGGGAGCAGGCGCACCACCAGTGAGCCACAGTTTATATTTATAGAGGCCTCAGTATACATGCACACAGACCTCATTAGAGACCACTCCTGGGCACATGTGGTTAAAGGCGGCTCTTCTCGTTTGTTGCAGATAATGAGCTGTTGTCGCTGCAGAACAAACGAGGTCCAAACAAACGAGCTGCGGCCAAGTTTGTTAACAGCGGCTGGGGTGAGTCCTCCTGACCGCCACACCTGTCCTTGCTTCCTTCTCCTATCTCACTCTCTCCACTCTCGATCACTCCCTACTCTTTTGCCCTATTCTCTCTCTCTATCTTCTCTCCCCGTGCTCACAGATGTGCTCTTGTGTGCAGCCTCCAAACACAAGGCCAAAGCCCAGAAGGTCAAACAGCGATGGATCCACAAACAGACGGCTGCGTGAAGAAGACTGCACGTCCATCTGTACCTCCCACTAACAGAATGAGAAGACCAACATGCAGTGTTTTTCAAAAGCTGCTAAAAAACATCCTATTTATTTACTTGGATACGTTATTGAGTTTTACCAAGAACTTTTGTCTTCACATGACTCCTGTTACGTCTGTGGAGTTGACCGTGAGCCAAGCTGTCATTTATCACAGAAACTAAATCTAACGGCGTACATTAAATCCTTTTTTTTTCTCAGACAAGATTCAATTTTCATAGAGCTTGTAAAAGTTATGTCGTGATTTCTGAAGGGGATTGTTGGGCAATTAACTAATTCCAGATAATTTCATTATAAAATCAGGCAATTCCAAGCCAATTGCAGCCCTTTGTGTTTGCGACAGAATTAACAAGTTAACCCTTTAATGTTTGCCTCTTTTTTGGGGTCTTCTTTTGGACCACCCAGTTTATAGACCTCTACCAAGGGGTTGAGCTGCAGCTTGATGGTACAAGTGCCTAATACATTGTTTTACCAAATAAATGATCCTTCAATACCTACTGTGAAAAAAGTTTCCCAGGGTGGATATTTGTGTATTTTGAGAGATGCCCCAATGATAGACTTCTGTTCCAACAATGTTCAATGTAGTTTCAAGGAGCGAACTTCAGCTCCAATAAAGGCCTGTAATACCTCGTGGTAAAGCTCACCCAGTTATTGTATTAAATAGGGTCTTATTTGTCTGTATACATTTGTGTCTCAGCATTCTGAATATGGTACTATTGTAGCTGGTGAGACGGTACATTCTGATTCAAATGTGAATCAGTACAGATTCCTTATTTTAGCATGGTAGGTCTTATTTCAGCAGCAGGGATGGAGAGTGATGGAGATAACCATCTCAAGCGTATGCCTCACCTCATACTATCAATGTCAGACCCATGTGCACGAGACTGTGTATGGTGTGAACCCCTGGTTGAGAAACATTGGTGCAAAGGACACAAATCAGTATTACTCTTGAATTGGGACCTTTATTAGAATAAGTTGTGGACTTTGCTCTGGCTGGCGTTCAACAAATATATCATAAATGCAAGTAACAATAATTCAACATATCATTAGAATAATATTCATCTGCCACCGCCATTACCGCGGAAACCATGACACGCCCCCACCACCGTAAAAGGAAAACAAACAAAACCAAAGGAAAACTGTCAAACAAATTCAACGCAACAGTAAAAATCACAGTCCGATCACACCAGTCGCCGTGGACGCCCCTTCTCTACAACTTAGACCAATAACCGTGTTTGGTTCGAAGCGCTGCTGCGTACAGAGCCCCTCGCGTCTCACACTTTAAAGGTTTTGCATAGAACGGATGCAGTTATCACCCACACTTAGTCCATTGTGTAAGTCAAGGGAATTTAACTCTGAAGACTTGAGTAAATGGGTGTAGTCTGGTGTGCTCCTGCTCGGTTGGAGAGAAAACCTGCAGCCAGATCAATCGTTTGAGAAGAGAGTTGAAAACGTGTGGTGTAAAAATACAGCTTGACCTTCGTTGGCGCACCAGTCCAGAGGTCCGATTTTGATACTTTGATAAAACGTAAATTTTTCCACCAGCCCTACTTGCCCCTTCTTTGCTCTACTCACTGTACTATACCGTATCAGTACTGGGATACGGTATAGTACCGTATCCCAGCAACCTCCATACAACAAACCAGTATCCGGGAAAAGTCCTTACCATGGTAACCGTGGCTTCCTGCAGCACTCCGACCCATCTCTGTCAGTGAGAACACTTTAGCGCCAGTTGGGTCCGAAGAGAACCAGGACCAAGCTAAACCGGGACTAGGCACATAGTAAACAGGGCCGGTGGAAATGCTCCCCAAGTAACTTATCCAAGTAAAGTCACATCCTTGTGGGAAATTGAAGGAGGAAAAAGTAATGAACCTTTCCTATCAAGCAAATACTGAGGGGTTTTGTCAGAATCAGAGCTGGGATAATATTGATCCAGTTTGCAGACTCTGGGAGAGAGGTGTTGAGGCCATTATCAGAGAACATGAATGAGAACAGTGAAGACAGATCACCACAAACACCTGCGTTTACTCTTTAAAACCACAGTGACTCACAACACCTTTGCACCCTGGTGATATGAACTGGTTTCAAAGGTGTTAAAAGGGAATGACTTCATTCCACCACTACCTGAGCAGAAACAGCGCTTATGTTCTGTGAAAAATGGCCAAAAATAATCATACATTCTGCCAGGGTATGGAAACTTGTGAGATAAATCGAGTCAGGAGTTTCCTTGGTTTTGTCTGTCCATAATCAGATTAGACAAACCTACTTGGCCATATTATACAGTATTCTACTCTACCTGGTTGCATTTCCATGAAAGCGTTAGTATTTGGTTCCGTATCCTGCACCCTACCCTCAACAAACCAAAATCTTGCATTCTGGCCAATCACTGTCGGTAACAACACTCTAGCCCTTCCCAGGCCGAGCTGGTGTTAAAGAAGGACCTGGTACTGGTTAAACACTCCATCTCAGGGTAGAGCGCCTGGAAACGTAGCAATTGCACAATCATTTGCTGAAAGAGGTTCAATATTCAAGCTCACGTTTTCTCATGTGTTGAACTATTATTATTTTTCCCCCAATGCAAATAATTTTAAATTGCAAAAATTCAACATCAAATACTATAATCTGATGAATCCTCATAAAGTAGGTTTTCACGCTAACAGACAGGTGTGCTCACCCACAGCCCCTGCTTTGAAATAATATTTATTATTATTGGAAAAAACACAAGTTATTAAGTCAAGAGGACGTTCTACTGGAAACTTCAGGAATAGACCTGTATCATTTTTATACAAATTAAAAATACACTTTCTTAGACATTAAGCTGCAGTTATTGTCTTTCTCAGAACATAAAGTGTTCCAAGAAAGACATTGATCTGCATCTATTTAGAACTAAAAACTGCTCGGAAAACTTTAGTAAGAATATTTCTCCAAATAAGTGTCTCCTTTCAGTACTAGCTTTAGCCTCGAACAATCTATCTTTATTCCCAGACTCCAAGGTTGTCCAAGGAGCAGCAGCTCCAGACAGAGCTGCACTGGGCGCGACCAGCCGTCTACACCAGGACAGGGCAGTGTTTGCGTTTGCAGGGTCTCTCCTTTTCCCACAACACCTCGCCTCAGTCGACTGAGGAAAAGGAAACGTGTACAGAAGCACATGGGTGAATAATAGACCCGTTCCCACCACCCCAACTCGGCTCTAATCGGTCTGGTTTAGTTTTCATTAGGCTAGTATCTGGTACTGTATCTTTGCAACCTATCCATAACAAATCAGTTACATGGTTACCAGAAATTTCGGTAACCATGGCTTCCATCAGCACTCAGACAGTAATATTGGCTAGTTAGAACCCTTTAGTACCAGCTCGTGCCTGGAAAAAACCAGGACCAAAAGGGACTAAAGAAGGACTTGGTACTGGTTTAACAGGGTGGAATAAAAAATGGAGCGAAGCAGAACACAGCAGAGCAGGGATGGAGGTCATGGAGAAGCGGCTCTAGACCAGACACTTGAACGCACAAAGGTGTCTGTCAGAGACGGAGACGCTCTGCACGCAGCATTACATCATCAGCGGATCACGTCCTTTTGAATAGGAGGAACAGCGCTCTCGTCGAACATACATCAAACCCAAAGAAAAGCCACTAACCACTACGCGTGGGGTTAAAGGGGAGCATTTGTCATCACCAGCAGTGTCTCTGAAGTCAGTTTGCCCCCGACAGAACCACAACAGAGCCCAGAGTCCATTCTGGCTCCTTTTGCAGCTACGAGGCCAGAGTCGTGTCCGTGGGTGAAGGGAGCAGAGAGCCCCAGTTCATGCCCCTGGAGGGGAGGGTGTTCATGGGTGTGGTCCCGCCCGAAAGCTGCCCGCCTGTGGACCACGCCCGTCATCAGGAGAGGACGACGTCAAACATTCTTTCACCCAGAGAAAGTCAGATGCTCTGAATGAAGCACTTGTTTGAAACGGTTGCTGTGGTTTCCAGAGAGCAGAACGTTAGCTCCGTCTGAAATGGTCTAGCGTCACGTGGGAAACGGCTCCAGTAGCAGCAGCCGGTGCCGACTGGAATACTTTCAGAGATGTAGGAGCCATCACTCCAGAGTGCTAATGCTACACTGCTGTTAAAGGCTTGTTGATGATTAGAAAACCCTTGAGGAGGGAGGTTGGCCCAATATGTCCTAGTAAATTTGAAATGAGTACATTTTGACTGACTTAACAAAACACTGTCCAATGCAACCAGCAACTGTTTATAGCAGAGCAACTGTCAAAGTAAAAGTTATCTGCTGTTTTTAAAACATTTTGTTACAATTAATTAAGCTAAAATGGTGCAGCCTGAGCCATTTGTAGAATGGATGTATTGGCATGTATTAGGGGCCAGTATTGCTCTGAGTCCGGGACTAAAATTGTAAATGTGGGTTTGAGTAAATGTGGCACACCACACAATGAACAGAGCGGATTCCAGATGGATTGGACCAGACCAGACCAGACCAGACGTATGCTGGACTCTGGTCACTCCATAGCACACCTTCTGTGACCACATACTTTTGGGGGAGACTCTGGTTGAGAATTGAACTGAATTGTTTTCAAAAGCCTTTGGCCTATTTTGCGCCTCTCAAAGTATGTGACATCATCTCCCGAGCTTTAGACTCAATACATACAAGACATCCTCTGCAGGTTCTCCCCTGGGTGAGACTGCTCCGACATGACAGGGAACAGACCAATAGCACACACTCAATAGTGAAGGACAGGGGTGAGTTCTGGCCGCGTCCCCCCGGCGGGCCACAGGCGAGGCAGGCGGGCTGGGTAGGGCTAGTGCAGGTAATGGTCCACAGAGGCGAAGGCGCAGGAGCCCGTCCCGGTGCGGGCCATCACAGACAGACACTGGGCGGCCTGCCCCATGGCCAGGGCCAGGGGAGGCTGCTTGGGCAGGTTGTGAGTCTCTGCACACACACACAGAAATAAAGTTAAGATTATTGTTAAAGACAAAATATGATGCATTTTTGAACAATGTGCGCATTTTTCCCATGAAAATATAGACTTCACAGGTTAAAATTACGCCATTGCACCTTTACCTTTACCATTGGCATCAAATGAAATATAGAGTCAAGTGAATCCCTGAATTCGGCCCCTTTCATCTGCACCCGTGGAGTGCACCCCCCTCCCTGCCTGGGAGCCTCCACAGTCCTGCACTGCACAACCTCAGTCCTCGTTCTACAGCCCAAGTAGTGGATCTATAACCTGTCCGTGGGAGCAGATCCCTCTCTCAATATGGGCCTGTCTCTGGTTTCCCAATTTTCTTTCTTGTTGATGTTTCTGGACAGGGGTCATACTGCTCCTATGAGTTGATTATTATTGCATTTTCGGTATTCCAAACGTTTATATGAGCTGCTGTTGGTTTATTGACAAATTTGTAAAGTCTTCCAAGACAACTGCTGTTGTGATTTAGGGCTGTACAAAAATACATTGAATAAACTTCAATAGAGCGCTGGTAACTGACCTAATATTGCACTGTTGAGTGTGGAGCAGACTGGCTCTCTCTGAATGGCCTCCAGCTGGTACCCCACAGGGCTGCTCCAGGGGTCCGAGTAGGCAAGCAGGCTGAAGGCGTCCTGAGCACACATCAACGACAAATTAGGAGGTTTTTACAAAGAATATACATTATTCCTGTTCATTTCAGCCATTAAGTATGTGTACTTTAGCTCTAACTGATAACTGTAGTAATCTCAGAGGTATTTGCTATACAAAAATAAATTGTACAGTTGAAATTGAAACCCTTCCTGCACTCTCACCTTGAGCATCTTCTTGTTGGTGGAGCTCTTGCCACACTGACGGCGGAGGTGCTCGCTCATGCTCTGCAGCTCTCGTCCAAAGTGGATCATTCGCTCGATGGCAGCCTGGCTGCCGCCGCACAGCTGCCTCTTGGACTGGACAGACTCCACCTCTGAGGAGACAGGCCACAGGTCACCACTGCAGCAGCACTGAAGTGGACAGCTAACTGATCCTTGAAATGTTTTTAGTAAGAACCATTTGTTTACAGAAGACTTTGTAGTCATTACATTTCTGTGACTAAAAGATATAGAACCAATTCATTACAAATTCCATATCCACTGGATTTATCACCAAGACTCCAGAATTATAAGGTATAATTATAAATCAGACCAGTCCAAACCAGTCCAGATCATACGGCCTACATGTCCGGTGATCCCGCACTGACCCATGTCTGCGTCGCAGTCCTCCGTGTCCACGCTGTGCTTGGAGCTGCCGTTCAGGAAGCCATTGGTGGGTTCTGAGACTCCGTTAGTGACGTGGTCCACCTCCATTTCCACATCGTTACTGCACACAGCAAACTTACATTCACATCTATTCCAGTTTTTACAGCACACACCACCTGCTTTTAATTTATCAAAAGCAGATTAGAAAAACAAACAAAAGGATGAACCAATGCTCACAAGAAATAGGAAAATTGATGAATGGATTGAGATGCAGCTCACGGTTATTCTCAAATAAATTATTGATATTTGTTGTTATTAATTTGGATAAACAATAATTAACTTAATATTACATTTGATGGAAAAACATCTCTTCATTGGAAGTGCTGAATATTCTCATGTGTCTTAAAGAAGTGACAGGCCAATAATGCAGTAACAGGTTAACAGGTTAGTGATGATGATGCAATAAAAAGGCAGAAGAAATTATCTTTTATAATTACAGTTTGAAGGAGTAGACTTTATAAAAAAGCAGTTTGAAAGGTCTGCCTTTACACCTCTGTACAAAGCCATCAGTTCAGGCTTAAAAACCCAGCTCCTTCACTCACTCTCTATCGTCTTAACGTCTATCACACACACACTACAGACCATAGTAACACACTTTGGCTGGCAGGCGTTTTACGTATCATAAAAATGAAGGCGACGTGTCCATGTATTTTCATCCGTTTCTGTTCATTGTTCAGTCTCTCATAAGTGCAACAAATCAAATCTAATATTGTGCAGCATTATAAACCTTATGATCCACGTCTGCTACAATTCACATTGTGTCACAACAGTGTAAAAGAGGAGGTCACCTGGAGCAGGTCTGTATGCGGCTGCCGTTCAGGCTGACGTCCAGAGCAGAGGCTGGAGCAGGGGCAGGGGCTGAGCCGGGGCCAGGGCAGGGCTTGTGACTGTGGGGAGAGCTGTGGGTCTTTGACGTCACTCCGTTACAGCAGTTACTGTCGAACCCTAAAGATCAAAAAGATCAAAACATGATCACAACACATTCAAATCACATGTGAATGCGAACTTTCTATTTTTATTCTCATTGTTGTTGTGCAAAATGTTGGAAACCTGTTGTTTCTGTCTTTAGCTGTAATTTATCCACTAATAGATTAAATATTGATGTCTGTTATTGGGTCCCATCGTGGCATTTCCTTTCATGGGGCGTTCAGACCGGATCATGCGTTGTGGCGATTTTCAATGCAAAGGCAATGGTGACAGATCTGCTGTTCCAACATCATGCTGATGTTTTCTTTTGGGGTTTATTATGTGAACAGCTCTGCCCCAGGAGTGGTGGGGTATGTAACGGCTAGTGTAGTTGGTCCAATAACAAAAACACAGACCAACAGGTTCTCCAACAAAACCAACACACCTCTGTCAGGTAAGGCAGAACACTGCAGTTATGACCATTTCCTCAAGATAAGACTGAAATTAGCGGTAGCCCTCTGACCCGGTTGTAGTGTTGGAAGAGGGCTCTGATAAAAACCGCAGGGGGGCATGTGCCTGATATGGTTGGAATCTCACCAGGATATTTTGGTTTGTGTGTTTTGGATTATATTGTTTGCGATCAATAATGATTATGATAGTGTAGGTTTAATGATTGTATACAGGTGTCAGATTAGCAGGGCAGCCACCGGCTGAGTGGATAGCACTCTCTCCTCTCAGCAAGAAGGTCCTGGATTCAAATCCCGGTTGGACCAGGGCCTTTCTGAGTGGAGTTTGCATGTTCTCCCCTTGTTTGCGTAAGTTTCTCTGGGTACTCCGGTTTCCCCTACCACTAAAAACATGCACAATAGATCTGGCATGGGCCTCCTGTACTGGCGCCCCTGCACCTATCTCTGTGTGGAGTGAGAGACAAATGCCCAAAAATAACAATTGTAACCGCTTTGAGACTCTGATCTGCAGTGAAAAGGCGGTATATAAATAAAGATTACTACTACTACAACAAAAATATCTGGTGTGCGTTGTATCTGCCCCCTGTATTCAGGGGTTCTGAACCAGGCTGGTTGAAACGGTCTAGGTCTCAGCCAACACAATCCGCGTGTGCGCACACACACCCACGCTGATATTTTTGCAGTAGAAATTATTCGCACCACAACTTTGATCCGACATCACGACCCAGCGGAGGTCACAGGACCCAGCAGAGGTCACAGGACCCAGCAGAGGTCACAGGACCCAGCAGAGGTCACAGGACCCAGCAGAGGTCACAGGACCCAGCAGAGGTCACAGGACCCAGCAGAGGTCACAGGACCCAGCAGAGGTCACAGGACCCAGCAGAGGTCACAGGACCCAGCGATAACTGGTGTTAATGAAAGTGACAGGGAACCCTACAAACCTGGACCAAATGAATCATGACCCCTAATGCTAAAAGTTGATGCTGCGTTGAGATGTGTACATACCTGTGAGGTAGGGCTGGGGTCCACTGAAGCTCCGGGGGGAACCGGGGTAACTGTCCTGAGACTTAGGGCTGCGACCGCCCAGACAGCGCACCTCACTGTCTGTGCCATTCACCATCTCGATGAACTGACGCACTCTGCACACACACACGCACACAAACACACACAAAATAACTTCTGAGGTCCAAACACACTGAGCTTCAACTGAAGGCTTCCACATCCGAGTGTACTCCGAAGTGCACAACGGATGAATCCGTTAATGGCAATGAGTTCATGTGTTTTTCTGAGGTCTTATAGTTAGAGTCACCTGCTTATCTTCTGTGCTGCATTTGGAAAACTGTATGGACTCACTTGAGCATAAAGAGCAGGTCGGGGTTCCTCTCCAGAAGGCTGGGGTACAACTGCTGGGTGGTCTCTATGGCCTCCCCCATTCTCCCCGACAACACCAACTTCTGGATTTCTGTCACCAATAACATCAACAGTTACAAGGGCCATACATTACAATGCTATGCTCAGGACAATGCAATTATCTAAGATTTGCAATGATTTATAAAAGACAAAAATGGCAGTTTTGCAATGTACAAATGTGGATCTATCTGTGATGCATTTTGAGCCGCTGGATAGTGAAGTACTTACTCTGTCTGTTCTTGATGGACGCCAGCTCCTCGTGCACAGCCTGGTCCGTGGATTTGGCGAAGGCTTCAGCAGTGGCGCAGTAGCTGTGATGCACCAGGTACGACGCCACCATTCTGTGAAGAGAGGCCACGACTAATGACTCGCTGAGCAGCAGAAGCTTACAGACACACCGTGCCTCTGAGTGTGGACGACAGAACAGCCCAGAAAACTACAACAGTGTTCAACAGTTCATTTAATTATTTAAAATGTGAACAAAGTCTATATAAGATAAATTTAACCAACAAAAGCTCGACATATGTCATTTTGCTTGCAAAGGGTCTAGAATTTTGATGATTATGGCTTTTCAAAATGTGGGGTTTACAAGCTGTGATTATTATTAAATATTCTAATTTTCCAAGTTTCAACTGTATACCAGCAAAACTCAAATGTATGCGATTGTCCTCATGGTCTCTGAGAGCGGTTTGATAAGAATCAAGACTTCAAATTATGTTGAGAACCACCGTCATCCAGCCAACTTCAGACATGCTGTACCTCATTGTAGAGCTCATAACCTCTGGAATTCAGCCGTTGACGTCATTTGGACACACGGATTGGAGCATGATTGTGTCACAAAATATCATATATGGCCTTAATTTAGCTGTTGAGCATTAGCTTGATCATTCAGCAAACAGTTCTGTCATAACTAGTTTTAAGACAGTTTTTCAATCCAGGTTGTCGGCCCTTGGACTCGTCTGGGGAACTAAAGTGGCCTTCTTACTAAAATGTAAAGTAGCAAAATAATAAGTTAAAAAGGTCCTGTCCTCATGGCGCTGACGTGAGGGGAAGCAGAGCACTCACTTCTGAATCATGGACTGCCACTCGCCCTCGCGCTCGCCGATGGGAAAGCGTTCGATCTGGCCCTGGATCTTGCTCCTCCACTCTCTCATGTAGTCCTCGATGTCGAACACAAACGGGTGCTGGCCGAAGTTGGCGTCCACCACTTCCCCCGGGGTCTGCAGGCCCACCGTCGGGTACAGGTTCGGCTGCACAGCAAGGGCAGAGCTCAGAGCAACATTGTGGATGTGACATGAAGACAGACGTGTCACTGCTCATGGTGTATCGTGATGCGGATCAATTTAACTAAACTACAAAGCAATGATTAAGTTCAAGAGGGATGAGTGCTGCAGTGGTTCCAACGATGTCAGGATAAGCAGTGGCAAAAACACTGGAAACTTAAAAGAGATGAGGAAAAATGTATCTGCATCTATTGCATTTTTTATTTTGTATTTTCTGTATCTCTTGACAGATACAGAAAATACAGATAAAAATCCTTTTAATGTATAGAGTGCCTCAGGTCTTTCCTCATGTCTATAAAGTGATTATTTCCATATTATCAAAAGGACTATGGAAATAACTCATGACTTCTTTCAAGATTCTACGATTTTTGTGTCAACTAGTGAGTGAGAGTGTAGTGCAGGACAAGCATAAAAAGTATATAATAATAATTGTGAATAATAAATATATTGCCAAACAGTTTTTTTTCTTTAGCACCCCTAGTGTATGCATTTTGTCCACTTTAAATATTAAATCCTTTGTAATAAATTGCGAAATGATGCTGGTCCATGAAAATATGGTCTGACGTTAAACCGGTCTGTGGCAAGGTTGGAGATTGTAGTTTTAACGCACTGATTTAAATACACATTTATTTGGTAGAATTTGATATGTACAATATATTGAATATGAATAAAGTTTCTAAATGTTATTTCTTAACAATCATTGGAGCGAGAGCAACACCAGAGCAACAAACAGCTCAGAAGGTCTAAGTGTGAGGGCAAAACTGAGAGCACCACAGAGCGCAGGGGTCAGTGCCAAATGTGTCTGCTCTTGATCCAAGTCCCTCCTGGTGACACTGACGCGGTTGTAAAAACGTGCAGCTGAAGCCATAGAGATGCAGGACCGTGTGGAGGCAAGAGATCTGTGTAGAGCCACTGCATTTCATCCCTATTTATCCCCAAGACAGCAAGAAGCCAGGTGTGATGCTTTTGAGTTTATACTTACTGGAAGATCTGTGAAGGCAATACCTGCAGAAAGACAAAGCACGTGTTACTGCCCTGAAGCAACATACAACACTGAAGCATCTGGCACAACGACTAATCTCTATGTTCAAGGCCTGGCATTAGTCGTTAGAAAAGACTTAGGAATACAACTTTAAATTAAAAATACTCAGATTTAGCCAAGCTGCATATGGAGTAGGGGTGGGAACCTCAGGGTACCTCACAGTACGATACAATGTGCGATACAAAGCTGACGATAACTATTATCTCACGATATGACGATGCAGCGATTATCGATATATTGGTCAAACATATACCTATGATAATATATATTTTTTTATATTTATGACATTAATGAAGTGAAAAAATACACTTTATTTCAAGATAACTGGATAAAATGTCATGTGTACCATTAAAGTGAACAAGCAAAAATGCCTTTTAACTTGCACATTTTAGTAAAAATCTGTTTAGAGACTTAATCTGTCTTACATCCAATAAAATCAATATGAACATTCTACAGAAATTGTAGAATGCGTAATGTAGCCATATATTAAGTATATATACTTTTCTTTTTTTTTCAAATAAACCTTAAAAAAAAAAAAAAAAATGCTTAGCAAAGGCTTATCGATAATCGATTGTGTGAGAAAGTATCACGATACATCACCATATCATTATATTGTCACACTCCTAATATGGAGACCCCTGCTACAGCACTATACTCTCCCATTTCCTAGTTTATCTGTCGTCATTATGACTTCAGCTGTAGTCTGTTCATTGCTATTCATACGCTGTCCCATTGTCTGTTTCATGACGTGACGATGGACCCCTGAGCCCGGTGAACTGGTCGCCCCCACCCTGCACCGCAAAGCCTCAGTCCTGGTTCTACAGCCTGCCTGTGCGAGGGAGATAAGATAAGAGAACCTTTATGTCCCACAGCAGAGCCCCACTCTCAATATTGGCCACCCGAGGGTATCTCACTTTTAAAATGAAAGAATATATATTTTTGCATAGGCCTAAATAACATCTGTAGTTGTATCAGAGGACTTTACAAAGATGAGGATCAAACCATTCAAACACAAGAATTGGAATAATAGCAAACACATAGGAGTTCTTGGTGCATAAGGGACAGATGACCAATGTCCATAAATGTTAATAAATGTCCTGGTTCATCACCACTGTCCTTATACCCTCCTCACTGATCAGATTATCTGGGACATTTATGGTCATTCTGTCAACTTTGTAAAGTCCTCCAAGGTAACTGCTGTTGTGATGTCTATATGCAAGTTCAGATTAATTTAAATTTAACTTTGTATGAAAGTGTTTTTTGCATTGACCTCATCCTTTACATTGATGCATCGCCCCAGCCCAGCCAGGAGGGTGAGAACCTCTCTACCCGGCCCAAGTCTCATGTGGACATAGATGATTCGTACCTAGACTGTGGCCGTTCTTTGTGTAAAAGCAGGTGTTGTTGATCAGGTTGACACAACAGCCGATCACGTCCCCCGTGGTGAAAGTAGGGCCATACGGTTGGCCAGTGCCGGAGGAGCAAAAGGAGTGGCCATCATCTCCGTGGTAACCATACGAATGCTTGTCCCAACCTGTAAAGAAAAGAAAATGTTAATTTTGGCAAATACAAACTTTGGCCCCAATGACACATTTTTGACATTGCCGGAGTTCACATCGCCGGCAGTAAGTCAGACCTGTTACCGGTGCATGTTGGAATCCGCCAAAGTGAACGGTTCTGTTCACCGTCTTTATGGACAGAATTTCTAGGTGCAGCCAGGGGCCGGAGAGGGTTCAATTTTGGGACCACAGAATTTCATCCTTGCTGTTTGCAGATGATGTTGTCCTGTTGGCTCCAAGGAATCAGGACCTTCAGCACTGGGACGATTTGCAGCCAAGTGTGAAGTGGCTCGGATGAGAATCGGCTCCTCCAAAACCAAGGCCGTGGTGCTCGACCGGAAAAAGGTGCCTTGCCCTCTCCAGGTGGAGAGATCGCTCCTCAAGTGGAGGAGTATCTCGGGTCTTGTTCACGAGTGAGGGAATGATGAAGCGTGAAATTGAGATGGCTCGGGCATCTGTTTGGGAGGTTTTCAGGGCACGTCTCATTGGGAGGAGACTAGGGAAAGACCCAGGACACGTTGGAGGGAATATGTCTCTCAGCTGGCCTGGGAACACCTGGGGATTCCCCCAGATGAGCTGGAGGAAGTGTGTGTGGAAAAGGAAGTCTGGAAGTCTCAACTTAAGACTGCTGCCCGCTAGACCCAGCAACTGATAAAGCGGAAGAAAAAGAATGAATAGATAAAAATGTATGGCAAAGCAAGTATGAAGGGAAAAAAGTGCTTTCCACTAAATCTCTATGGTACCACCAGAGGGAGGAGTATTTGAATTTGTTCAGTTTTTCCCCCGGATTCAGACGAGGGCGCATATACCCTGGCCTATACTTCGGTCTACACCTTGACTCACACTTGTCCAGAGACCACATCGCGGCTGGGGCCTAGTCAATCTGACGGATCTGCCCAATCTGTCAGACTGGCTGCATCCGGTACCAACAGCAGAGACACGTCACACCATCACGAGTCTCTTCTGATGAAGGTGAGAGTCTAGTGCCCAAGACCAATGGTCATCAGCAGGACTAGCTTCTTGACATTTTTGTCTTATAAAAATAACATTTTGAGCCTTATACATAAAGACAATGAACTTGATGTGATGTTCTGATGTTTTTAGGCCAACATAATAGTAAAGAGCATCATGGCGGCCCCACACTTACCTGGAAGCCTGTTCATGTTGACGCCCTGCGCTGATAGACCAATGCCCATGTACCTGCAACACACACAGGACCAGAGCACAGGTTCACATGGGAACACAGGGAAGAAGAGCTACAGAGCCTGATAGATGGACTCTCATAAAATACCCCATTGAGCTGAAGTTTGTAAAAAATCAGGGCCATTGATCCGTTAACAAGTAGCTGCTATCACTGTTTAACTTAGTGAATAATAAATAAATAAATCCTGATATTAAACTAAAAAGGTGATTAATGCAACTTTTTGGCGGTAAATACATTTGTAAAATAGGTTTTAAAAATGTTTATGCATTATTTATTTTTAGAATCACTATAATTGTTTATTTTTTCAAACAGATTAAGAAATTATATATTTCCAAAATAATATTTTCTAACACACCTGTTAACTGCCTCTTACTTGCAAGTGGAAACCCATCTCTGTAGGGGCATTGCACCTTAACACGGGCAGACATGTTGCTAAGACAGTTGCTAAGGCAAACTAGAGTTTCTCCCAGGAATGAAAGCACTGATCAATCAATCTCATGGCTTATATCTAGATTTACAAACCAATATCACAATGTAAACACCAGGATCACAGAAAGCACTACACCAGAGTTTTTAAGCCCAAAATGGTGAGTGTGACACAAACCGTTATTGAACTGGAAGGGTTTTTACCTTTCCTTATCAGTCAATAGGACTAAGAGCAAGTTATAGAATAACAACACTGTAAAAAAGGTATTAGTGTATCAGCAAACCAATCGATTATATAAAATAGTTAAGAATTACTTTACAAATCCATTTTAATAGATTTGTTCTTACAGTGCTAAAACGGCTAAAATAACCAGTAAATGACAATTCTCCTATTAGATGTAGATGCTGCAGGTTTTTGTGACAAAAACAGAAGTGGGAATTATACATTTGTGATATAAATTTAAGAAAGTATTGCATACTTTAGTATGAGCACGATAGTGTTGTGCTGTTGCTCTGTAGCTCTGTATTTGCTTTTTTGCCGTGCAGTGTTGTCTAGTTTATAATGTCTATAATGCTACGGGCTCCAACTAACATTTAAAGAATCTGTACTTTTCAAATTATTATTTTTTTGAAGCCAAAACAAGGCCTTTTGTTTAGCTGGATGATTATGTCATGTTCAACCTAGATTTCCATTGGTCAAAGAAGAATAGGCGATTTATCTAGAAACTTTAGCCCCGTTTCTACCAACTTGACTCGTGTATTTAGCTAAGAAGTGAGAGTGGCGAGGGCGGCACTTTGTCTGTGGTGTCAGTGTTGGGTCCACTTCTGTTTTTCATCTAAACAGAATAAATAATAATAACAATATTATTATACATTTTAAATAGTAAATAATATTTCTTGATACTGTTTTGAAGCCTTTCTTCAGATTTAAATGCAACTAGAATTGTTGTTCACGTAATAGTACAGTTTGAAACTTAGATATAATAAAAATGAATAATATATGTTAAAAAAATCCCACCGATGACAGCTGTCGTTGTGTCCTTGGGCAAGACACTTAACCCCACTTTGCCCAAAGCTCCCGCTGAAAGATCAAGGCTCCTGTGGACTCACCACCTGCTGGAGGATCAGTGAGGGGCTGGTGCTCTGTGTACTGGGTGCAGCTCTGACTGCCACCCCCCCGACCCAGAAATGGATTAAGGGGAAGAAGATGGATGGATGGATAGATATATGTTTATAATTAATAAATAAATATACATGTGTGGGTGCATGTTGATAGTTGTGTTGTAAGTAGGTGTAGATATGTGTGTGTATATATATATATATATATATATATATATATATATCACTAATACGATACTACAATCTACATTCTCCCTCAGTAGAATCAGTATTTGCATTGATGGCTGCCTGGTTTCCATGTCTTCACATGTAAAAGGTTTAGATGTTATACTGGACTCCACTCTTTCATTTAAAGCTCACATCAATAATACCATTCGTACAGCCTTTTTCCATCTACGCAAGATCTCCCAACTCCGCCCATCTCTCACCGAACACCCCACTAAGGTCCTGGTTCATGCAGTTGTCACTTCACGTCTGGACTAATGGAACGCCCTTCTCACTGGTTTATCCCAAAAACACATCCAACGTCTCCAACATGTCCATAACTCTGCTGCTAGGATCATCATCAGAACAAAATCAACAGATCACATCACTCCGGTTCTCATCCAACTCCACTGGCTCCCCATAAACCACAGATTCCAGTGTAAACTCCTCACATTCAAAGCGCTCCAAAACCTGGCACCCTCATAGCTGAGTGACCTGCTCCACCCATACACCCCGTCCCGCTCTCTCTGCTCCTCATCTACTGCTCTCCTCACTGTCCCCACCATCAAAATGGCCACGATGGGGGCCAGAGCATTCAGCCTCTGCTCCCAAACTCTGGAACACTACTGCTTGACCTGCGACACTCTTTGGACATTTACAAATCCCATCTCAAAACCAACCTTTTTTAACTTGCTTATTCTTTGTCATTTTAAAATGTTTTTAAAATGATGTTTTTTAATATATTGAAGTGCATCCTCGGGGGTCTTGAAAGGCGCCATTAAATAAAATTATTATTATTTATTATTATTTGTGGTGCAATGGGATGGCTTGTGAAGTGCACACCCAGTGCCAACAATGTGTAACATTGTTTACAGGCCGGACATTGCAGTGGACGATTGGCCGCATTCAGCGCCTGTCCTCTGGGTAATGTAGTCTTCACATGGTTTGAGGTGGCTGCTTAAAGCTGCACTAACTGACTTTGGGATTTTGAAGCCGCGGACTCGCTGGCCTCGCTCTTTCTCCTCCCCTCCCCGCACCATGAAGCTATCGCCCCCCACACACACCCACTGTTGTTGACGGAGCTAGCGTCTCCCAATATGGATAATACATGGATATGGATTTGCACGTGGATGGCGTGACCATAGAACGATAGAACCGGGAAGCGCGGAGGAACGGGACTTTCTTTTGGTTGGCTGTCTCGCTGTGTAAGCAGTAACCGGTGACGAAGACACACGAAGCTTCAGGTTAGCTCTGCCGCTTGTTGTGCTAACTCAGCGGTCTATGCTAACAGACCTGCAGATTTCTCACGAATGTGGGGGCCAGTGGTGCGCTGTGATTGGTCACAATCAGAGACCCGAAAACACATTCTCTTCCTTGTTTCATCAAAACTCGATCTAAAATATAATGACACGACAGCACAAATCTGCGCTACTTTTTCTTCAAAAGGACGTATATCCCAATGCACTGCATGGACATGGATAGCATTTTTGTAATGAATACTAAAATAAAATCAATTAGTGCAGCTTTAAGAACAGTGTAATAGAGTGTTTATTTCCGTATACATGTAGCACTATCTATTTTGTATTAAAAAATAACTACTTAACTTTGTGAGGGCCTATATTCCGCTCACTGACGAAGTAAGTTATTCACCTTTTTATTTCTTCAAGGTTAGATTATTGTAACTCGCTGTACTGTGGCCTGGACCTCCGTTCACTTAAGCGTCTTCAGCAGAGTGCTGCCGCTCACCTACTGGTGGGTGGCACGGTGGCTGAGTGGATAGCACTCTCGCCTCTCAGTAAGAAGGTCCTGGGTTCAAATCCCGGTCGGACCAGGGCCTTTCTGAGTGGAGTTTGCATGTTCTCCCCGTGTCTGCGTAGGTTTCCTCCGGGTACTCCGGTTTCCCCTACCACTAAAAATATGTACAATAGTTCTGGCATGCGCCTCCTGTACTGGCGACCCTGCTCCCATCTCTGTGTGGAGTGAGAGACAAATGCCCAAAAATAAAAACAATTGTAAACCGCTTTGAGAATCAGATCTGCAGTGAAAAGGCGATATATAAATAGAAATTACTACTACTCACAGGGCACATCACCATGTGCTGGTCTCGCTTCACTGGCAACCGGTCACATTCAGGCTTGATTGTAAGATTTTGATGCTTTTTTGTAAATGTTCAAATGGCTTAGTCTCAGAAAAAATACTGGATCGGATATCTGCGTAGAGAGGCGCCGTGCTGCCGATCCATTTTCTTGTCTTTTTTTAAATCATATATATTTTTTATTACATACCAGGTACCGCACAATGTCTTAAAATACATTGTGCATATACGTATAAAATGAATGAATTAAAAGTAATTTATCAGATCTCACGTACACGTCACTTCCTCGTGGCGCTCTACAACAACAACAACACAGCATGGAGCGCAGGAAAGAATCAGCGTTGTTCACGCGGCGGTAAACTAGCGAAATACAACATGACTAAGCACCACGAGAAACCGCATGGGTTTTTGCATCGAAAGGAGATTACGTGAAAACAACGAGACACAGATGACACTGACGCAGCGTCACAAAAAGCTTTTCAGCAACAACCCCAAAGTGTTGGAGTTTGTCAGTTTGGGCTCGCAGCCCCATAGACCATTTGGAACCCATGCCGTCGCCAAATACATATCTGAAATCCAGTTAAAGCTACGGTACTATTATTTATTTACATTTTCATGCAGCGTGTTTTGTTTGTTGTAAGTGTTTTTTTATTCAAACACAGTTAATATAAGTACATTTATATTCAATACATGTATACGGTATAATACAGTGTTGGAATGTTTAATGTGAACATTGAGCAGCTCTTTATAGTTGCAGTATTGCACATTTATGTTGAATCCATTTTTATCTGGAAAGTTTAGCGCTTTAGTTCATCCACTGCTTTTGCAGTTACTTGAACAAAGAGTTCAATTATTAAATACATTTTAGCATGATCATTTCCAGGTATCGGTCAATATCGGTATCGGCAGAAACCCATAGCTCTGGTATCGGTATCGGTAGTAAAAAAGTTGGTTCGGTGCATCTCTACTCCTGTCAGCTCAGTGAAGTTAGAAAACCTTCTGTTGAAATGTTGGACGATTTTAAATCCAGTCTAATGGCACATTTGTACACCTTGGCTTTTAACACCAATTAAGTTTTAATGTTTTATATTTTACATGTATTTGTGTGCATTTTGTGGGCTGTTGCTGATTATTACTTTTATTATGTTTTTAGAATGATCAATTTTATTTTTGCTGCTACCGGACGCCTGAATTTCTCCTACGGGGATCAATAAAGTATCTATCTATCTATCTATTTTAGGCTGTCATCTTCTTATCTCCTTTTGTCCATGTGAAGCACTTTTGGGAGTTTTTTGGTGTTGTTGTAAATGACCCAGACTTCCCTACGTATATATTTTAAGTAGCTGGAGTAAAGGTAATATAGTGGCAGCAGACTTACCCGTCGCGGCCCTTGCTGATGATCTTCACCTCAAAGTAGTAGACTCCACAGGCTGCGGGGATAGGGTGTGTGGCCCGTACCGAAGCAGCGTCTTTGGGCGTTTTTCCATGTCCTGGGGAATAAAGGACACAGTACTGTTACAGCTGAATAGAGGGCACCATGTACTTTTGTTTTCTTTCTACCAAAAGGTGTTCAAGGTGCAGCGTTAAATCATATTGCATGGTTCTTGTCAGCACTCAGTGTCTGCTTGAGTTTTGCCCGATGCTGGGATTAAAACATGCTTTCAGCTCCCCCCCTCCGTTTTCGCCAGGTAAAGCAGTGACAGTGGCTTCAGCGCTGGGTCGTGATGGCAGATCAGGATGTGGTTTGAATAATTCCACTGCAGAAACATTAGCACTGTTTTCACAGGCTGTGTGTGCACAAGTGTGTCCATGCGTGAATGTAAGTAAGTAATTGATGTTTATTTATATAGCGCATTTTACAGACCAAGATCACCCAAAGCGCTTTACAAAGTTCAGATTTCAGATATTGTTCCATTCTCTCCACACACGGTGATGGCGGAAGCGAGACACCGAACACACTGGCGCATCAAAGCCTCCACCCAACACCATCCATTCACTCTCTCATTTACATTCATACCTATTGTGCATGTTTTTAGTGGCAGGGGAAACCTGATCACCCAGAGGAAACCTACGCAGACATGGGGAGAACATGCAAACTCCACCGGGATCCAAACTCAGGACCTTTTTGCTGAGAAGCCAGAGCGCTCTCCACTCAGCCGCCGTGTTTGTTCCCCATTGGTTGAGACCGGGTACAGTCCTGGTTCAGAGTTTGTTAGATTGTGCTACTGACAGCTAATTTATGACACTTGCATTTGAGGTACAATATCATGAGCCATTTTACAATATCATCAGGCTCTCAAAGTTGATATTGTTTTGTACCATGACATTTGGATATTGTTTTATCCCTGCTGCCTAGTATGGGTCTGGAATAGGGCTTGGCGATATGCCAAAAAAATAAAATCTCGATTTTATTTTCTGCTTTGGACGATTTTGATTTTAAATCGATTTTCATTAAAGTCACCGAAGACACACTTTGCCCTTAGAAATATTTTTTCTGGATTCAAAAGACGATTAATTGCCTAAATTCGATTTATTGCCCAGCCCTAGTCTGGAATGTGTGCAAAAGATTTACACAAACTGGCAGCAAGTCTGGCACTAACTGGTTAGCCAGTCTGCCCCAGGGCAGCTGAAGACCACTGTGTAGAGTGAATGAATGATGCCATGTGAAAGAGCCTTCTAGCGTCCACTATATCAAAACCGATGGATCATGATAAATTCCCTTTCTCAAAATGTCCTCAAGCCTAACTCTAGCCTGTTCCATCTCACATTCGGTAACATCATGTTAACAATAAATCAACAAACCGAAGAGTAAATGTCTGAACATACTAAGTAGCAAAGTATAAAGAGTTGCAGGCAGATAAAATGAATAATCCAGCTAATGAGAACGTATTGTAACAATTGTTTTTTTTTTTCCTTTGGTTGACCATGTTTATCTGGTCATTCGTTGCAGCTCTACCTAGATCACCGTGACATAGTTAAATCTTAGGATTAGATCACATGGTGCAGCGTTCCGTGTGTTCAGGGCATCTGGCCTCAAAACTGCATCCATTGCTGAGTGTCTGGATTTGACTTGTTAACGGTTTCTTTAGTAAGATCCAAAGTGGTGTAGTGCCCAGGATGGCTGCGCATCACAAGTTCTTTCTAGACATTTGCACCATTTTATGTGGCCTCTGATGCACAGAGCAGAAGGGCCCACTGACATCCTCTGTTCTCTTAATCACAAAAACACGCTCATGACAGCGCCGTCATCTCACTGTGCACAAAATGCCAGATCCATAACATGCGTTGATTTGGCGATGGCTCAAGAGTGCACGTCGAATAAACGTTAGATAGTTTGGCAGGACGACAGCACGCTTCAGATAACCCAAGCCGATTGTTTTATTTTATTATACTAAGAAAACACAACTCGGTGACGTTTTAAACGTTATAATGGGGCCGATGACAGCCTTCCCGATTAAGTGTGATGGGCCTGCTGCTGCTGGGCCAGTCCAGTCCAGACCAGACCAAACCATGGCTGAGATGTTGTTTATCCAGAAGACAAGAGGCCTGACGAAATCCGACAGCAGTGCCCTGTCTGTCAATGCTAACAGCAGAGCTAACCTTTAACCTGTGTTAATGCACCAACACTGTCATCCCTCTGTCATACCTTTATAATGCACCCGCAGGTTGTTCTGGGACAGGCCGATGTAGCTGAACTTGTCTTTGGGACTCCAGGAGCGAGGCAGCGGGCTCTCGTTCTCGTTGACTGCGGGGTAGAGACGCCGTAGCCTCTGGTTCAGCTCCTTCTCCTGCTCGTTCAGGGTCGAGTCTCCGTGAACCACCACCGACATAAGGAAACCGCAGCCCGAAGCCTGCCCCGACATCTTCAGCGCAAGGATGCTACAACCCGGGGCCCAACGCCCCAGTCAGGAAAGTCAGCTCTGTGAGCAGACAGCCCCGTAAGCACTGCTAGTAGCAACTTAGCACGGAGCTAACGGCAGCGAACACACATACACAGTCCCGTTAGCACTATTAGCACGGGGCTAACACGGAGCTAACACGGAGCTAACACGGAGCTAACACGGAGCTAACCTGGCTAAAGGGGAAAGCTGCTGCAATCCCTCACGGGGCTGAGCTTGACATGAGCCCGCACAGAGACGGCCACGGGCGGTAGGCTAAAACTGATCGATGTGCAGTAAATGTCTTTTAGTGAATCGGTTGAAAAGACTCCGCAGCGGGCAAAGAATCCGGTCGCAGTCCTCGGTGCAGTGTCCGCGCTGAGCTCACTTTAGCCTCTCTCTTTTGTTTGTTGTTGGAGAGCTGTTCTCTAAGCTGATTGGTCCAGAGCCGCTCTGTCACTCCAGCCTAGTAAACACTCAATCCCAGTAACAGCATTATTCAGTGACTGTATATATATGTATAACAGCTATAGTCAACGGTTTATTTGTTTTATTTTTTATCAGTTCTTGCATTCTTTATTGAGTAACTGCATACACATATGCATTGTTTTTAATGCTTTATGCTTACTATGTTATACAAATAACGATTTATTATCATTTTAATAGGGGTGTGATTATGTAATAAGGGTGTAATAGTGGTGTGCTAGTGTAATAAAGGTGTAACAGGGCTGTAATTTCTATAACTCATGACTCATTGCATTATTACATTTTTTTGTCTTTTCATTTTTGTTGTTGAATGGTTGAAGCCATTGTACAAAAGCCATAAGTATTTTTTATAGTTATTATCATTATTATTATTAGGAATTATATTGCATTGGTTTTATGTTATCACTTTTAGACTCTCAAATTACATTACATTTTTTAATTCACTCCGTACACAGTGGTGGTAAACCAGTACAGTAACTTCTGTAGACATCAGTCCCTCCGAGCACCATCATTAAAAATAGTAAGACCACTTTCGTTCCCCAGACTTGTCCAGCGGCTGACAACACGGAGTGTATAATTGTTCGGACTGGATTCAGGCTGTTCTGAGCTTCAAAATGTCGTATGACCTCTCTCATAGGGTTTAAATGACTATTCCAAAATGGTGACAGTGACTCTTACTGGGTCTAGTTTGGATATATTAGACCATACATTTATTTATCTACCTCTGAACGCATTGGCCAACGGTGAGTACGTCTAGAAACCTGATCTTTAAGGACAATCACATGTGGTGTTACCCAGGGTTAGATTTTGGGTCCAGTCCTTGTACATGCTTCCTCTCGATGGTGTCTCCTCCAACCCTGTGCTCCTCCGGCAGCAGGTTCCGGGACATTCCCCAAGTCAGACACACACACACACCCCTTCTCTGGATCAGCAGCTGGAGGAGCTCAGGGCTGCAGAGCATGCAAATTCTTTAAAGAGCAGGCTCAAGACACACCTCTTTCAATAATCTTTTGAGTCATTTTTGTTATCAAAATTCTTTATTTTACAGAATGTTGCCTATTTTAGTGTACTTATTTATTTATTTAGACATACATTTACACAATCGTTGATTGTGCTAATCCTTGAACACCATAATTTTGATACTTTATTTTAATTTTAATGTTTTAGTCTCCCCAGTGTTTCCTCTGGAGAAGCCCTCTACACTGAGAGTGGTGGTCTGACTATTTAATGTGTTTGTGTGTGTGTGTGTGTATTTGTGTAAAAAGTGAAATGTCCTGGTAATTGCCATTGTCTGTGGGTTGTTTTGGGTTGGTCCGTTGGGGCAATGTGAATCAATCTCAAAATTTCAAGCGCTCTGCTGGGCATGTTTGGGTTTAAGTAACACAAATTTGGAGGAAAATAAACCTCATATAACTTTAATTAGAAAATAGTTCAAAAGTCAAGATTCTTGGTTTTATTTAGCATCATGGAATGTTTTGTGCGTGGCCACAGGAGCTCTATAAATGTGGTGAATATCTCAGCCAGGTGACAACAAAGGCAGTATACAGTGGTATGAAAAAGTATAGGCACCCCACCACTGACATTTCTTATCCAAACAACTAATGATTTCTAAAGAAAAATAATAAAAATGTTTAGGGTGCCCAATCCTTTTTATGCCACTGTTTAGTCCAATCTGCGACAACAGAACAGAACAAGTCAGTCAAATATCATTTTGTCCACAAATCAGACCACATTGTGCTGTCTTCATTCTATTAGAAAACATTCTATTTTTTGCATACTTGTATGAACGATCCCTGTGAGTCACTATTTGGGCTGAGAGCTGATTGGCAGAGCTAGGGTGGTGCTGTCTTTTTCACTTTTCTGTCTGAAAAAGATGTTATCCCGACTGACTTCACTAAAATATTTATTTGGCAATAGCAGATCAGAAAAGACAGATCAGAGAAGGTAAGAGAACATGACTGTGTCCAACAGTAGAGTGATGTCAGTGTTGCAGCACATTCTCAGAACAGGACAATATGAACATAGGAAGGAAGGTAAAGGACAGGACGGGACTTGTGTGCGTGTGCTCCCCAGAGCTGGGAGTAACGAAGACGAACCGGTTGAAGAATGTTCAAACGAAATAGACAAATGGATGACTGTCGCAGATCATCCCCCTCAAGGAAAGGAAATCATTTTAAATAATAAAAAATGCAGCCTTTATTTGTATATATATTTAAATTACAAGGTGAAACAGTGAGTAATGGGGAACAACGATGAAAAGTTCGGTAGAGTTGCAGACTGTATGTCTCCTGTAAAGTGTTTTATACAGCAACTTTTTGACGCTCAAACTATCTTTACATTGCATTATTCATTCACTCCATTCCCAGTACCCTCTGTGTTGGGAGGTACGATCCTATTAGACACAAAAATATGATTGTCAACATTCTTCATTGTCCTCAGATGTTCAAACTGCTGGAGTCGTCAGAGAGGCAGTGCCTGAGTTCGTGCCACACACACTGGCACAGGCCGTATCCCATGACCAGTGCCAGGCTGGCGGGCACCAGGCTCACCATGAGGACGCCCATGGTGGGTCTGTGCAGCAGCAGCAGGTACACCCCTACAGGCAGAGAGCTGAAGTACACTAGTCCCAGCGCCCACAGCAGCACACGCGCCCAGCCACGCCACAGCAGTGCAGCCCAGCCACGAGACATGGACACCAGTGAGTCCAGGCTGGAGGCCAGGCGTGGGAGGGGACGGGGTTCCATGATGGTGATGAGTACAAAGCCTGGAGAGCTGCCCAGGGATGAGAAGGTTCCACTGGACGAGCTGGAGGACAGGGAGGGGGCCAGGGTAGAGTTGTGTCCCACCAGAGACGTGAGAGCGTGGGGACTGAGAAGCAGCTCTGTGGTCACCTGCGGACACACACACACACACAGGTTAGGGTAGGTCAATAAGGACAATGTTGTGAAGTACGACAGAACGTCATTTTAAAAGGTTTCAGAACATAGGTTTACAGTCCGATTCAGCAACTGTATCTCTGCAGACGCTGTTCCAATCTGTCCTCCACCTCTCCATCCTTCCCTCACTGTAAACAAGGACCTGAGATACTTGAACTCTTCCATTTGAGGAAGGATCACACTCTCTGGAGAGGGCAAGGCACCTTTCTTCAGTGTAGACTCATGGCCTCAGACTTGGAGGTGCTTATTTTAATCCCAGTTCATATTTGCACTTGGCTCAAACTGTCCCAATGCATGTTGCATGAAGCCAACAAGACTACTGTATATCCTCTGCAAACAGAGGTTAGATCCCGCAATGTGGTCCTCCAACTGCATCACCTCTGACATCATCAAATTCTATCCATAAACTGTTGTAAGTGGGTGTTTCAGGGATGCAAGGATAAGACCCCGAACCCCTTAATCCCTGCACTTTTCCAGTCACTCAGCAGATATTTCAGTCTCCTTCTCTGTGATTCTTCACAAGGGTTTTCTCTTTTCCCAGTGCTTTGTCTTTGGAGTTTAAAAAGGATGCGCTTAAAAGTAGGAATGAACTGGGACATTTCTCCATTTGCCTTATTCCAGTGAACATTAGTAAAAAATTTTTATAAATAACTAAAAACGTTTGACTGTTTTGGTGATTGTGAGCTATATAAAAATGATACAATTTGAATTGATGGGTAATGAAGATTCACACATCAATTTCTGAAGCTCGGGGGCATTGGAGGAGAAGCCTGTACAGCCTACATTTGATCAAGGACAAATGTTCCCTCACATTGTCTTACTTGTATTGTATGTGTGTATTGTGTGTATTGGGAGTACAAATATCTAGCAAATATCCCCCAAAGGACCCCTGGGAAACATGGTCAAAAGCTTTCTTCAGATATGGTATGGTATAAATTATATTTTTACAGGGACATTGTACAGTAAACATTCACCAAACTACAACAAGACATCAGCAGGACTGTCAAAGGTCGCTATCCACAAAGTGTCCTGGATCAGAGGGGGTGGCATGTGGATCTGTGGGGGTGTGTTTACCTGTATATTTCTCTGGGCGGGGGGGTGCATGCTCAGCGCAGACAGCAGGTGGAGGTTGTCGGGCAGATCGCTCACAGAATTGCCCCTCAGGCTGGTGGGGTAACGGCAGAACGGACACACAGCTTCTCTGGGGAAAGCGTCGCCCACGTCCACAATCTAAACAGCAGGAGGTATGCAGTATTTTTGGGAAAGGACAGATTGATGCACCTTCTTCATTGATGTATCGCAAATGAACCAACCATTCACGCACACACCAGACTTCTAGGATGGGACACAACCACAGTTTACAGCTGCCCCACTGTAGCCTAGTTAGTCCTTGCTTTAGTTTTGTTTCAAAGTTGTGGCAGGATTCCTCTCTTTCAGGTGTGAAAACAGAACTACAATAAGCTAAATCTTTTCTTCAACTGAATGGAACACAGAAGTGGTACTTGCGTCATGTGTTGCGTGGTGTTGCAGAGTGTGGCAGTGGGTTGTGTGTTACAGAGTGTTGTGTGTTACAGACTGTGGCAGTGGGTTGTGTGTTGCAGAGTGTGGCAGTGGGTTGTGTGTTGCAGTGTGTTGTGTGTTGCAGAGTGTGGCAGTGGGTTGTGTGTTGCAGTGTGTTGTGTGTTGCAGAGTGTGGCAGTGGGTTGTGTGTTGCAGAGTGTGGCAGTGGGTTGGGTGTTGCAGTGTGTTGTGTGTTGCAGAGTGTGGCAGTGGGTTGTGTGTTGCAGTGTCTTGCGTGTTGCAGAGTGTGGCAGTGGGTTGTGTGTTGCAGTGTGTTGTGTGTTGCAGAGTGTGGCAGTGGATGGTGTGTTGCAGTGTGTTGTGTGTTGCAGAGTGTGGCAGTGGATGGTGTGTTGCAGTGTGTTGTGTGTTGCAGAGTGTGGCAGTGGGTTGTGTGTTGCGTGGTGTTGTGTGTTGCAGTGTGTTGCAGTGTGTACCTTGCGCAGACACTTGGAGCACAGTGTGTGGCAGCACTCCAGCAGCTTCGGTCGGTGAGTGAACAGGTCGTAGTGACTGTAGCAGATCTTACACTCCAGCTCGTCCTCGCTCACCTCCACCTCACTCACACGCCCCATACTGCCTCTGCTCTGTCCCGGGCCAGTCTGCAGCCAACCCTGCAGGACATTCCATTCAAATCAATTTAAATTACATTAATTCTTGTATTGCCTTAAATCACAACAGTAGTTTTCTCAAGTTTTTACAAAACCAACACAGATCAGAGAATCAAACAGTTCAAACAAGGAACCAAAAGGGGTAGATGACCAATGTCCATAAATACAGATAAAAATCCATAAATGTTGAGTGTCATGGATCACCACTGTCCTGCATCAGCAAGGAACATCTCTAAAAAAGCTTTGGGAGAAAGTGAGAAACCTCGGGGTGGCCCACACTGAGGGAAGGATCTGCTTCCACAGACAGACAGGCTGTATAGATCAGTTAGTTGGGCTGTATAAATACAGGACTCAGGCGGTAGAACGAGGACCAAGGCCACGTGATGCAGGACTGAGGCAGCTCCGAGGTTGAGCGGGGGAAGAGAGTCTGCAGGTGCATTAGGAGGCTGAGATTGTTGTTTACAACATCAAGGTTTGCATTCTAATTCTCATGGTGAATAGCTCAGGCCAGTATGACAGCTAAGGCTATTAACACCACTAAATAATTTAAGATTCAAATCAAAATCTTCATAATTAATTGTGTAAAAGTCTCTCCATGGCCTCGCACCAGAGTAAATCAGTGACATGTTTGTGCCATATGAACCAACTCGGATTTGGTGGAGGCATAGGGAGGGAGCGTGTAGCTCCAAACATGTGGAACAGTCTTCCTAATGAAACGGGGCATTGTAGAAAATGATGTCTTGAGCATTGTTTGTCTTATCCTGGACCATGGTAAAGGTAAAGGTAAAGGTGCACTTTATTAATCCCCGTAGAGCAATTTAATCCTCTGCATTTGACCCATCCTGATGCCGCAAAGGCTTACGTCAGGAACAGTGGTTGCCGTAGTAACAGCGCCCGGGAACCAGATGTTGATGCTTGACTTGGTCAAGACTGCCGGAGCCGGAGGATTTAACCTAGTGCGCATGTTTTTAGTGGTAGGGGAAACCGGAGTACCCGGAGGAAACCTACGCAGGCACGGGGAGAACATGCAAACTTCAGTGCTGCAACTGAAACTCTCTGATCTTATCCTATGATAGTCGAGTAATTGAAATATTCGCTGAATAAGGATTTGTCCTTTTCAAATCTGAACACTACAGTTAAAGCTGGGGCAGCTTTCTTTTTTCATAATGACACATTGTGTTTGTCCAACAGAAAGACACATAAAAGAACAATGTTGCAAATCAGTCAAACCAGATCAGGCCAGAACTGTCTTACTCTAATGGAAAAGGTATTTCCTTCTGCAACTTGAAAGAAAGATACCTGTGAGTCACTATCTGACTTTTTAAGCTGAGAGCGGATTTTCTCTTTTCTGTTTCAAAAAGCTGATCTAAAGATGTGACAGAGGCCGTAAGTGCATAATGTAAAAACCTGTGATAGAACTAAACTCTTTTGAGAGTGAGAACAGTTGCATTGATTTGATTAAATATTTAAAATATTTGTGGTTTGAAAAGCAGGTAATAATGAAGATCTCTGTCTGTATCTTGACGTCTACTATAGACCAGTGGCACGTGTGCTGCAGAGAAACAATGGTCTACAGAAGATATTAAACTATAATAATGTTTCAAAACATTCTCAAGCAGATTAACAGTAAAGTCTCACTTTGATAATGTTGCAGAACAGCAAAAGTCAGTTATAGGTTATGACCATATTTTTTATACCTTGAGTAGATGCAACTCATCAAAGGAGATTTATGGGTTGGAATTTCAAGGCATCTTTTACTTCAAACTTAAGTTTTTTTTCACAAACAACATTTCCAGAATTTTCAGATAACAGTTTAAACATGGAATTAATATTATCAATGCTTTTTAAGTCTTAGAAACAAGAACAGTTGTGAAACCATTTTTCACGGCAATTTCTCTGTCTCTTATTCAATTTCGGCCCATTTCCGGTGGAATGACAGCAGCTCCTTACCTGACAATCCCAAAGTGTTGGTCTCCTGTCCCGTAGGTCTCCAGTCCCGTAGGTCTTCAGTCCCGTAGGTCTCCAGTCCCGTAGGTCTTCAGTCCCGTAGGTCTCCAGTCCCGTAGGTCTCCAGTCCCGTAGGTCTTTGGTCCCGAAGGTCTTCAGTCCAGGATGGGTCAGCCCTCCATCAGCTGCAGCAGCGTCTCTCCACAGCGCAGGCCTCAGAGTCAGCGCGGGGCGGTGTAGAGGCTCCCAGAACCAGCCCGAGCCCGTGTAGAACAAAGGCCCATGCGCTCCAGCAGAGGGGAATGTCCACAGGCCCTTTGTTGTCCTGGCCTGCCTGATGAACGCTGCTCTAATTAGAGCTGAGGCCTGGGCTGGGGACATTATGTAATCATCCATTTTGATTTTGAAACAATAATCTATTCTACACCTACTATGTCTCAAACCATTGTCATGATGCACTTTTGTGTGTGCATTTTGGTTCAAACCTGAAATAATTGTGTAATAAGGCGCATTTGATTTGAGATTGAAGATATCATTGTGATTTTGTTATAAACAGTTCACATTACAAACATGTGTAGAAGAGCCATGTGAGTCAGTATCTGCCTCTTTGGGTTAAGGGCAGGGGGTAATCCACCCTGTTTGAGAAAGCTGCTCTAGTCTATTGTTGTGAGACAAAGACACAAAACTACAGTACAAGCAAGTCACATCTTATCTCATTTACACACTAGTTATGAAGTAGAAGTATGAAAAATGTTTTAATGAACTTTTTTCTCATATGTTTTACATGTGTGTCTGTGCGTCTCTGTGTGCGTCTCTGTGTGTGTCTCTGTGTGTGTGTGTTTACAGCATGAGACCTGGATCTACAGCCCGAGTCCTGAATCTACAGCCTGAGTCCTGGATGTACTTCCTCTGGGCTCTGGGGCCTGTGAAACGCAGACCCGTAGCAGTATAAAGTTCATGTTTCATATGTTCTGTGAACATGTCAAATGGAGACGCCCACTACAGAGCATGTGATTAGCATTGCTCAACGACACAACAGCAGACATGGACCCCCACCTCCCCCCATTGAGCCGGAAGTGCAGTTACAACACGTTCGAGGAAACAAGCTTAACCAGAGGGTCCCAGAAGTCTCCCATCACAGCACTAACCATGCCCTTCCCTCCTTATCTTCAGAGGTCTGAGGGGATCTGGCTTTCACAAGCAGGTGACGTCGTCAATTAAAATAATTCATTCAGTTTTTTTATTAGTATCGCCTTAATTCACAACAGCAGTCGCCTCACAGGACTTTACAAAGTTGTTGATTTGCAAATTTGTAGAATCAAACAGTTTAATACAGGAAATGTAATAATAACAAACACATTTGAACCATTGGTCCATAGGGAGTTCATACATGTTCTGAATATTCACTGTCGTCCTCTCCTACATTGGTAAGGAACCACTGAAAAAAAGAAAAAGTGGTAAAAAAGAAAGGAAACTTGGGGAGTCCGACATCGAGAGAGGGATACTTCTCTAATAGGCTACAGTAAAATATATAAAATGCAAGACAACTTCAATCTATCTAGTCACAAAAACAGCATCAAACAGCCATGACTTAACCCAAATATGACTTTTATCCCTGTGCGCTCTAACATAACACATCACCACAGACAGAATCTTGCCCAACAGGGGGTTAAAAACAAGTGAACGTGTCCAAAAGCACTGACGTGTTTGTGTGATGAGGAAACAGAGCACATGGGCCCAGGACAGAGGGGAGGACAGCGGGGAGGGGGGGGGGGGTCAGGCGCACGGTCCCATCCTCCTGTTGAAATCACTCTTATTTTTAGAGCTCTTCAAATACTGCCGTGTGCCTCTTCATGCAAACACTCTGAGGGAACTCTGCTTCAGCAAACTCTCTGGGCCATAGTTCTGCCTCCTCTCTGATCTGTGTGGGACAGCCCCAACATGTCGGCCGAGGAGCACGCCGCTGGACTCAGGTACATCATCAGACCGGGCTCTCACAGGAGGAGAACGTAGAAGGGAGGAGGGATTTATGTTCAATCATATTTGTGTTCAATCATATATATCATGAGAAGTCTTGTATTTGTATTATCAGAGAGATGAGCAAAAGTGAAAAGCTTACTTTAGCTCAGCGCTGAGTTGAAGTCTTCTGATTGGTCCTTCTCCATCCTGTGATAATCACCATAGAAAAAAGCAGACGTGCGATGCCTCTTATTGATAAACTGGGATTCAAGTTAAAGATTTTATATTTCCTTCTTTATTATGTTTAAGCTATAGATTTTATACATGCGTCTTTATTATGCAAAAGTTAGAGATTTTATTTTTCCTTCTTTATTATGCTAAAGTAAGAGATGCTATACTTAATTCTTGCTTCTTTATTATGCTAAAATCACCATTTTAAACTAAGAGAAAGTCAGTACAGCCTTCGGGGAACTGGTTATTTCAAAAAAGACTGGGCAAGAACAAACATTATGGAACAATCTTGATGACCATTTAAAAACAGCAAAAACACTGAAATTGTTTAAAAGGGGGATTAAATCAAAAATTCTTGATAAATGCCGAACAATGGTTTGAATATTCGTAACTTGGCTTTAGGCTAAACCTTTGTGTGTTTCCTTTTGTTACTCGTTGTTACAGGACGTTGCTGATACTTCATCAGTTTTTACCATATTTTGTTCAACTTTGAATATTTTGTGTTCCAATGGATAATATTCGTTTCCTTGTACTGGGTCAGGTGAAATAAGTTTAACTTCAGCCGGAACCCTTCTGTCGGATATTGTAATTTTGATGTTTTGTTGACAGTTAACTGTAACTATGCTTGAGCGAATAAACTACTACTATTAATACTACTACTAAAATAACAGATGGTATTTAACCTTCTTCATTATGCTAAATTTACAGATTTTATATTTCCTAATTTTTTTGCTAAAGTTGGGGATATTATACTTCTTTATTATTATTGTTCACTTATCTTGTGTTGTTCTGTAGCACTGACATTTCCCCACTGTGGGACCAATAAAGAATCTCTTCATCTCTTCATCTTAATTTAGAACAACAGTTTCCCCATAATGTCATCACAGAAAACATGAACTAATAACAAGCAACATAATACATAGAAAGAAATGTATAAAGTTAAGAAAAGTTACAACAATTACAACAACCAGATGAAGGAGTAAAGTATTCGACTTTAATCAACACAAAAATCTGGATCAGTGCGTCCTCAATGCGGACTCTCAAACAACACTGTTTATTTATTATGGGTTATTGCCCCTTGAAATGAATCATCTCTTTTTTGAGGGGGTCCTGTTCATCCATTTGCTCTGCCAAACGATCACAAATATAATCTTACATGCACAGCCTCAGACAAACAACAGAGACAAGACCAAATGCACATATAGAACATAAAAACATTGCTTGCTCACCCTTGTAAGGCCCGTCTCTAACCCTTGTTCCTATCTGCTCTGACAACAACTTAGGACACAGTTATCTGATTCGTTTTTTAACATATTTATTATACATGAGAATGCCTTGTACAATTGGTCTCATAATGACTTCTAGCGACCACATATTTTGTCTTAACAAGTGGTTTTGACTATTTAAAGTGAGGAAATAGACTTGAATGAAGCTGGGAGATTGTTCCAGTTCTCTTGGGGTTTAAAGCAAACAGCCTCTCTCCCATTCTCCCTTGTTATGGCAGTAATGAAGATGGTATGCGGTAGATGTCTTAGTGCATATAAGGAGGTGGAGCTCAGCAGATATTATTGGAGATGGGGGGAGGTAGAGGGGAATTGACTACTATTAAGGAAGATAAGAAAGTGTATAATGGGGTGACAAACAAAACAAATCTAGGGTAGCCACAGCTGTCCTGGGGCAACTGACAGGCTACTAATGTGCAGCGTTGGCCACAAAAACATGCATTCACACACCTGAGTCGCACTGGACCATGTGCGAGTGCCCAGTTCTCACACCGGTCGTCACACCAGTCCGCGGGTCAAGTCTGAAGGTTGAGACCGGACTTTCATTACATGAGGAAATTGGTGCCCCTGGTTCGAATAAAAACCTGCAGCCGCGGCTCTTTACGGCCTCAGGTGCCCCACTGTGGCTCCCATCACAAAACTAACCAGACCCTGCACTGCTTAGCTCCTGAAATCTGATTAAGCTTTCACAGTTTTATCTTGGGCATGAAAAGTGATAAGATAAGATGACAATTTTTGATCTCACAATAGATAAATGTACAACTTATTATTTTCAAGATTGAGATTTTATACTTGTTATTGATGCTAGAGTTAGAGATTTGGTTTTATTTTAATTAGAATGCTGCTCCTCTTTCCTACTGTTCTATAACTTGCGATGCAACACTGAAATTTCCCCACTGCGGGACGAATAACGGATCTCTTAATCTCTCTTAATCTTCAAATTTACAGCACCTGATATACATTGACAATACAATTTATTCATGTATAGCCCTAAATCACAACAGCAGTCATCTCAAAACCATTGAAATCCCCAACACAGATATCCAGATATTCCCAAGCGGTCTTCCATCCAAGTAATAACCAAGCCTGACTCAGTTTTGCTAACGAGATCGGACAAGATCGGGGCGTGTTCAGGGTGGTATGAGGAACCTTGAGCTTGTGTTCATTCCTGTTTGTTCCTTAAACCTTTCGGCTTTTCATGTTTACGAGAGGTTCCGTTGCATTGAGTCGTGTGGTGTGACGGCTTCAGTGTTGAGCAACAGCGTAGACTGGACTCTTGGACGCGTGAGGTTCGGGGGCTCGTGGGTGTGTCGGACCCTCAGCTGTTTGTCTAAGTTTAGCCCTGCTGCTCTCACAGTCAGCTGACAAAACAACACTTGCTCCGGTCGGAAAAGTGTGACGAGGGCAGTGGAACTCTGGGCCTGGGCTTCTGTTGTGCTGATTCTGGGCCAAGAATGTTGTCTGTCATTCGACCTGTTTACGCACAGTATCGTATTGTACACTGTAATAGTGAACTGTATTTGATATGGAGAGTCACGCTGGGCCATATGTGCGTGGGCCTTCAGGTCATTTTACAAAACTTCAATTCAATTCAGTTTAATCTTGCATAGCCCTAAATCACAACAGTAGTTATCACAGAGGACTTCACAAAACCGCTCAATTCGCCAACACAAATCAGAGAATCAAACAATTCCAACACAAGATATAGAAAGATCCATAGGAGGCAGATGACCGATGAGTAAATCCATAAATGTTGTTGAATGTCAAGTGTCCTGGATCATCACCACAGTCCTCAGACCCTCCTGTATCAGCATGGAACAACTCTAATAAAACACCCAATCACTCTCATCTTTATTGAAGGGGCATTAAGCTCATAGAGACAGATATGTGGTGCAGCAGATTGTAGCTAAATGCTAGTTTCTATCTGCAGTTCCTGGTTACAGAGAAATAAGTTACATTGTACAGTGCATCCATCCATTCTCTATCAACCACACAACACTTTACCATTGATGTCAAAAAATGATTTGACTGACGTGTTCAGAATTTGATACAGAAACAAGGCCAAGAATGCAGGAGTTAAAAATAGGAACATTTAATTCTCTTTACAATTAAATATTGATACAAAAACTCTCGGAGCCCTAAATTCTCTAAAACTAACCCTATGCTGAGCCATTCTAACTGTCCCTCCAGGCCTGAAAAATGTGCAGGGGACATCCAGGCGCTCTGCGATGTTCCCTGTCTAACTATCCCTGCTCAGACTGCCTGAAAATCTCCTCCGAGCAGTTTCTATCAGAAAGTCTGATGACGTCACAGGTCCCAGACTGGTCCAGTCTGATCCAGCTTTTTCTGGTTTTGGGAGGCGCGTACTCCAGCTAGCCCATTGGACTCCGGACTCTGTCTGGTCTGGTCTTGGTCTGGTCTGACATCAATCTCCTTCTCCAAACAACTCTTATCTGGCTGGGGGAGCTCTGCATTCCTTACTCAGTAACAGTTAGGCCCCCTTAAAAATCTGACGGGTCTGCGTGGCCCCCCAAAATAATAACCAAGAAGACAACATTAAGAATAGGCTCTTCTGGTTATTTTATTTTGGGGAAATAGCCTCTGCTACAAACATTTGTAATACAAAAATGATTACAGTGGATTATTCAAGTCAAAATTTGACGTTATTTAATGTTAAATTTAACATTTAAATAATTATATTCTTATTTTTTTATTTTTTTTATGAACCTCCCCGCGGCCCCCCTGCAGTACCCTCGCGGCCCACCAGGGGGCCGCGACCCCACTTTGGGAGACACTGCCTTACATGGTCCTGGCTGACTCGACGTAGACCCCACTTAATATGAAAATCACTGAAAATATAAACAACGTGTGCGCATTTCTTGAGATGATGCATTATTCCCTCTTTTGACCTATATTAAACCAATTTAGGTCACAATCTTTCAATATCCCTTTCTGGGTGACGGGACTGGGGAACTCTTCCATCATCGCCTTGGTTCTGGCTCGTTATCTCTGTGAAGAGTTAATACAGAGAAAACAAACAACACACAACAAACCACATTCGAAACATTCCTTCACTAAACTCTTTGATGACTACTGCTATGTCCTTCTGAGTCTTTCTTCAACCTCGTCTGTAATGTATGCACTGAATCTATTCACTATAGTTTAAACTATTCTAATCTATTTACAAATATGTTTGCATATTTTGCTTTTATTGAGCCCTATTCTTAAACATATGTTTTTATCTAATAAATCTGTCTTACTGTGGTTTGCTGTCATTATCAGTGGCTTTGTGCCATTTTGTGGGGCTTTGCTCATTTTTCCAAACACATTTTGTTGAACCAGGAAGTGCTGTCACTTCCTCCTCTCAAGACAGTTTGGGATAAATGTACATCGTTAATCAAATTGGTATTATCCGTACAGGAGCTAATCTATTTTAGCAGGTTTCTCTGGGGTCAGTCCCTATACAACGGTATTTGATTCTCTAATCTGTTGCTGACAAA